GCCACGAAATTGCCTCCCTTCAGCTCCTCAAGCATCAAAACATCATCACTCTTTTCCAAGGTACCGAGCACAAACACCACGACACGCCCCTGCCTCTGCTCTCTCCCTTGCTCCCACATGCAACGGAAGACACCCGCCCTTGGCTGCTGAGTTCTTTGGCCATGACTCACGGCTCTTTGCTCCCGGCTCTCGCGTAGTGCTCGAGTCACGCTCTCGCGTCTTCCTCGTCATGGAATACGCCAAGGGTGGCGAGCTCTTCGATTACATTTGTGCTGCAGGGCGCATTACCAACGAGAGCCAAGCCCGCACCATTTTCCGTGACGTTGTCTCCGCCCTGGCTTTTATGCACCAAGAAGGCTTTGCACATCGTGATCTCAAGCCTGAGAACATGATTTTCGACGAGAATAAAACGCTCAAGATGATTGATCTCGGCCTGGTCAGCATGCCTGGTGAGGACATGACGCGCACTTCATGCGGCTCGCCCAACTATGCCGCCCCCGAGGTCATCGAAGGCCGCCTCTATCATGCCCCAACTGGCGACCTTTGGTCCCTCGGCATCTGCCTGTACGCCATGCTCTGCGGCTTCTTGCCCTTTGATGACCCCGACATGAAGACGCTGGGTGCCAAGATCCGCAAGGGCGAGTACAAGGAGCCCGAACACCTCTCCATTGAGGCCCGCGACCTCATTCGTGGCCTCATCCAGACCGACCCTGAGAAGCGCTTCTCCATGAGCCAGGTCCTCTCTCACCCGTGGGTCCTGAAGGACCTGCCCGTGACGGTGCGCAGCTTGGATATCAGCTCGACCATGGCCAAGGACATTGACATGCACGTCGTGCGCATCCTCGCCAAACACTATGGACAGTCCTTTGATCGCGTTCTGGAACAAGTCAGCCTTGACGCGTATGATCACGTCACCGCCGATTATCATCTTCTCTGCATCGCCAAGGCTCGCCTCCAACCCGTCACCCTCTCGGCTCTCGGCAAGGGCATATGGAATCCGCGCATGGCTCCCCGGCCCCCGGCCGACGAAGGCGTCGAAACCAACAGCCACGACCTCGAGCCCCGCGCAAACACCCCACCCAGCCGCGTACCCGCCCCCATCTCGTCCACCTCGGCTGGCAGCGCCACTAACAGCGGTGGTGCCGTGCCCAACGTCAACGTGGAATCAGACGAGGAGTCAGACGCGTTCTCCACCCACTCTTCCCGTCGCAACTCTTCCTCCAACCAGCGCCAAACAAGTGGCTCGCCGCGGGGTGGGCGTCGACGAGGCTACACGACCGCCCAAGGCGCTGGCGTGGCAGCCCAGGCGGCCGCCAATGGAGCTGGCCCCACCTTGCCCAACGGCTCCAGCGGCGGTGTCGGTGCCAGCAACTCACCCCCATCCAAGATCAACTCACTCTTTCGCCGTCTTAACCTTAGCTCAGGCAACAAAACCCCGCGCGACGTTCCCATCGTGGCGGAGGACTACCCTCTGGTCTACCGCACCGGCCTCGAGTTTGCCGACCTTCGCAACGCTCTGCACACCATTGTCGGGTCGTGGGAAGGCGAAAACAAATTGCGCGAGAAGGGCTCCATCCTCCATCTTTCGGCCCTGAACCACCGCACGGCCTTCCAGGAAATGAAGCTGTCTATTGAAATCCTGCGAATCGGTACCACTGATGACATTGGCCTGCGTATCAAGCGCGTCAAGGGCGATCCCATTGCCTACACTCGCTTCCTTCGCGATCTGATCAAACAGCTCACGGACATTGACCCACGCACCATTCCGGTTGATACACCGCCTGCAGGTCGGCTTTGAGATTGAGAGACTATAGTTCGTCTCACCGGGGGGCTCTCCTCCGTAAGCAGCCTGCCAGCTCGATGGTGCCTGTTTGGCTCGACTGACTGAAAGCACGTGCCTCAATGTTTTCGGACAGCTGCTTCTTCGTCTTTTGACCTTCTTTCTTGAGCTTCGCCCTGCCTTCATGGAACACCAGGGCTTGTATATAATCACACATATAAACACACACTGTGATCCGCGACTCGCGGGATCTCTCCTTGTCACGTCACGCTTGCTCCCATGGTCTGGGGGTCAGTGTTTTCTACTTGTTATTCTAATCGACAGAGCTAGACCTCTGCGGACCCTAGTTTGGCCGTGCGCATGTGCGGGGCCGTTAATAAGCGAAATGTTTGCTCGCGTTTTTCCACTCTTTGTTGGTGAACGGGTTTGATGCAAATTGTGTTGTTTTATCCAGTTGTGCGTGTGTCTTGAAGGGAGCTTTTGACATTTTTTCCAGGCTCCTAAATCTAGATCATTACTTATGTTTCCCGAGTCTTGTTCATTGCTTCATCATCATCATCATTCATAATTCACGTGGAGACGTGCTAAAAGGAATGGGGAGGAGCACTTTGGTACCAGAGCTCTAGCCTGAGGAACAGGAACGGCAAGCACCAACAACGACGACAACAATGACAGAGTTCTGCCACTAATGGCGACTGTGTTCAGCTCATGTTATCAAGAGCGTCCTTGGGAGCCCTGTTATGGCGAATAATCCTGCATTTCAAGCCAGCATGCGTGGCGGTGAACAGAGGCGTGTGGCAAGACGTGCACGGGACTGGACGAGCCGTGCCAGGTTGTGTCTGAACGTACGCAAGGACATCCTCGAAGCAACCGTCCTTGTTGTAAGGCCAGGGGAGAATGCAGTAGGCGTGGGGTTGGTTGAGGTACTTCTTGTATAACAGCGTATGATTATTCTATGCAATCACACGGCATGAGCTTGCGCTGCACAAGGCATCTCGAGCATGTCGAGGGAAAGCCACAGGGTGTGGCAAAAAGGGGTGCGCGGACTCACCGCGCGCATTGTATCTTTCCAAGCGTACCAGCCTCGCATGGAGCTGCGGAACGGTACGAGTGAGTCTCCTGTTTCTGGGAGCAAGCCGGTTTCCGCAGGCAATTCAGGCAGCACGCTGCTGTTGCGCACAAACTCGCCATCGTATCGGAAGTAGCCTGATGTGCGAAGCCACGTGACATGATGCAGACAATGAGTTCAACGGGTCACTATGCCAGTGCCATGACCAAGCCAAAGCTGCGTTGGTGCGGACGCGACGGAGCATAAGAGGTGTGGTATGATGGCGGACCTGGTGTCGAGACGTTGTACCCAAAGGCGACAAAGGTGTTGACACCCGGGTTAGCAAAATCATCAAGAGTTGGCTCAGTCTAGACACATGAATGGGGAGGGAGTATCGATGAGGGTGAGGCCGTTTCATTCAAATGCAAGCTTTTGCATGTTGTCATTGCATAATCCGATTCTGAGCAACTGTACTGAAGGAGGCCCGCGGCGGTACATACACGAGCGTAGTCCAAAAAGTCGATGCGGTCTTCCATGCCCAGATCCTCAAGAAGTAGGGAGAGGTTGGCAGAGACGTAGCGTTTGGACGGCGTTTCCACAATCACTTCATCGTCCCCATATGTAACATTGCTCGTGCCTGACAGGGCGCTCAAGTTGTGTCGCAAAGGTCCGAGGGGCCTGGTGAGTCGAGACGTGCAAGCGAGCTGGGTTGACTTTCCACTGCAAGGGTCTGAGAGGTAGGGAGAGGCACGGGCGTACCAGGGCGGGGGAAGAGAGAAAGCAGGCTACCAGCGCCCTGTGCTACGACTCGTGTAAGTTCGCGCTGACCAGTGCCCGCATCGAAGCCAGACACCAAGCTTTCGACAGCCATTGGGGCTCCAGACCAGATGGGTGATTGCGCGATGAACCTGAGCGCGAGGATCAGAGAACAAAGAGAAAGCCCGGGTGCGCGGGCAAGGCAATGAGTTTGACTGCGTTCAAAGACGGATAGACGGACAGACGGACAGACGGACAGACGGACAGACGGACTGACAGACAGGCAGATAGAGAGACAAAGAAACAGAGCGACAGGGTCATACAATCAGCATAGATACAACAAGCGATATAAAGCACAAGTATGGGCGAACCAGGCAATGTATTTGTCTTTCCAAGCCTGCTCCTGCTTGTGCAGGAAGGCAAGAGTAGGTTGCGGGCCCCAGGACACGGCAAGGAGAACCACGCGTTGCTGATTGTTGTTCTCGTACGTTTCCTCCACCTGACAAAAACGGGTGGTGGCATGGGCCTGTCAGAGGCAGGGGGAAAGAACACCACCGATCCGCCGGGACTCGAGGAGACAAACCAGGGCTTTCAGGCGATCGTAGTACTCTGGGATATCGGCCGGCGTGTAGCGCCAGTCAAAGGCTGCGGTGACCAAGTTTTTGCCGACAGTCCAGCCTATTGCACATTGGAGAATGCTTTGTGAGCATTGGCTGGACGTGGCGTGCGGAGTCCATTCGTGTGCTGCGTGACCAAGACAGGCGACGCACCGAGTGTTGTCCAGAAGGAGGTGGGCAAGGCGTCGGACGAAAAGCTCAGGTAGTCGGGTACCACAACGGTTTCATTCTGCGACAGGGGACGGGATAGAGTTTGATGTGCCAAAGGTCAGGGGCATTGGTGCGAGACCGGCCAGTTGTGTAGGTATGAGGTCGCAAACAGATTCGGTGAGCATGGGCACGAACCGGGCGGTTGTCGATGGTGCCTGTGGCCTTGTCGTAGTAGAGGCCGTAGTTTTGAAGGAGGCACCTGTACTCGTGGAGCGTCTTGGGTACCGGGGAGGGCCATAGCGTTGCGTTGCTATTGAGTAGGACGGGCGTGGGCCAGCAAGGTGAGATCAAGGCAAGCCTATATCCAAGCCGAGGCCGTGCTGAACCGAAGAGAGGAACGCGCACATTAGATCGGTGGGGCAGTCGGGGATGGCACTGGCAGCATTGTGCAGCGAATAGGTGAGGTTGGACGAGGTCAAGCCAGGAATGCAGAGAATGGGAGGGAAGAGGCCACCCTCGCTCGACACCTCGGGCACGGCCGCCACAGGCACGTCAACCGACTGCAAGGCCTCGTGCCACACCGGCTTGGTGAACAGGAAGCCCTGGCTCAGCGACACGATCGCCGCAGCCACCACAACACCAACTCGCCCGCTCAGCATCATGACAATCTCGTGTCTCAATCCCACCAGCTCTGGGCTTCAATCACCCCTCGCCCCTTGAAAACTGCGCCACCAGACCTGCCCAGCGCGACCTCAACCAGTCACAGGTGAGAGAGTTGGAGAGAGAGAGAGAGAGAGAGAGAGAGAGAGAGAGAGAGAGTGAATGAGAGAGAGAGAGAGAGAGAGAGAGAGAGTGAATGAGAGAGAGAGAGAGAGAGAGAGAGAGAGAGAATGAGAGAGAGTGAATGAGAGAGAGAGAGAGAGAGAGAGAGTGAATGAGAGAGAGAGAGAGAGAGAGAGAGAGAGAAAGAGAGTGAATGAGAGAGAGAGAGAGAGAGAGAGAGAGAGAGAGAGAGAGAGAGAGAGAGAGAGAGAGTTTGAGAGAGTTGAGAGAGTTTGAGAGAGAGAGAGAGAGAGAGAGAGAGAGAGAGAGAGAGAGAGAGAGAGAGAGAGAGAGAGAGAGAGAGAGAGAGAAAATCTGGCACGCGCTCAAATCGCCGGTTGTGTGTTGTACGTATGCCTCCCGTCTGGTCTTTCGAGTACCGACATTTAATTTTAGAAGGTCTGCATTAATTAACTACTGGAAGGTTATGTGATCGGCAATAACTGTTGTATCACCCACATAAACATCAGACCTCCAAAGTTTCGAAACCTCAATGGCACACGCAAATTTGCTGACAACAAGCACAGCAAGTATTATACTTTACAGACACATACTGTCTCACTCCGTTCGCTCGCTGGTATCATTCGGCGGTGGCAGAGTGCCAACTTCTACAAGTGCAAACACAGACACACACACAGACACACACAGCTGCGAGCAGGGTGGACAGCAGATGGACGCAGGCAGACACAGCCACTTCCAGAGGTGGCTGCGAATGAAGCTGGTCATGTCCTATCAGTCTGTTGATCGATGACGTGCAATTTAGGTAGGCCAGCGGAAGTGGGGCTGTGCTTATCTATATACGTGGGTGCAATGCCATGCCTTTCCACACTACAGCGTTGGATCCGGTCAAAGCAGCTTGCTCTACGCACAGTGCGGCGTCACTCTGATTCAATGTGACGGTTTGGCTTGGCTCATGGTCCTGTCAGATCGCCAACATGGCAATCCTCAAGCGTTTTTGATGCCATGCTGCTATTCACCCAGCATCACCCTGCATCGCCAGGACTGTGGGCCGTTTGTGTACGCGCCCAATCGGGCGGAACGGGCATTTTACTTGAACCTGCGTTACGTCATCTACAGCAAGGACTGCGCCGGCTGACAACAACCTCTTTGACGACAGCGACTACCCGTTTTGCACAACAGGCTTCATCGGCAAGACCAAACAGTCATGGCAAGCTCAGCGACTTGCGGGACAGCCGTGGTGACGGGTGCCACGAGTGGTATTGGCAAGGCAGTGGCCATTTACTTGGCGACTCAGGGATACAATGTCGTCTTGGCCGGACGGCGAGCTGCCTTGGGAGAAGAGGTGGTAGAGACCATCCAAGCGGCGGGTGGCCAAGCCATCTTTTGCCAGACGGATGTGAGCAAGCCGAGCGACATGGCACAGTTGTTTGCCAGCGCAGCCGAGCGCTTTGGGCACATTACGCTGGTGATCAACAATGCCGGTGCCGAGGGGACCCCGGTCAAGCTTTCGGACCCAGGGGCCCAAGCGTCTTACGATGATTTGATGGCCATCAACGTGCGCAGTGTCTTGACGAGTTTGGAGCATGCGACCCCGCTGTTGGTCGCCAGCGGGGGCGGGGCCATCATTAACGTGTCCAGTGGCATGTCGGTGATGCGCGTTCCCGAGACTGGCCCCTACACCATCTCCAAGGCGGCCCTGGACGCGGTGACCCGGGTGGCGGCCGTCGAGCTGGCAGAGCAGAACATTGATGTGTACTCGTTGAACCTTTATGTGTTCAACACCGAAATGGCAAACCGCTTTGCGGCACGCACCGGCCTTTCAAAGGCCGAACTGGGTGCGAAACTCAATCCTTCCGGCGAGACGGGTCGTCCCGAGGACGTGGCCGAATTCATCCTCGAGTTGATCTCCGGGGGCCATGCCAGTCGCTTCAAATCTGGTGACTGCATTGCCTTGGACTCCCGCAAGAAAGCCGGCCTCGTGCACTACGCCCTCCCCGAGACCTTGACAGCCGTACCCCCCTCGTCTTAACGCGCGCCGGGGTGTGTGTCCCGCAGCGTAGAAGTTGTCTCATGTGTGTCCCGCAGCGTAGAAGTTGTCTCATGTGTGTCCCGCAGCGTAGAAGTTGTCTTATGTGTGTCCCGCAGCGTAGAAGTTGTCTTATGTGTGTCTTATGTGTCTCTCCCATAAGAATAGATGATGTCAGACGAAATCAGTGCCCGTTGTGTGATGATGTCATCATAGTCTCATCCTTCGCAACAAAACCAATGGACAAGGCACATATGGCAGCCCGGCTCGCTTGTCGAGGGGATGTCTGGCTTGTAAAAGAAGGGCCAGGGCTGCCTCTGTGTGCGGGGGGATCAAAAGGTATGACGGATCAGGCCCTGTGTATTATGGCAGACACAACGCAAAGCAAAAGGGTAGCCAGGGCATCCGGCGCCTCTCAGTTTTGTGGCACGGGTCAGCACAGCATTGTTGGCAGCGCGCCCGAATTGATCGGCGCCGTGCCAGACACAATCGTTCACACCCGAGGCAGGTTCGCTCTGCCCGGCAGCCCCCACAGCCCTTTTAAAGGTCCGCTCCGCCGCAGTTTCAGAACAAGGCCAATTCATCACCCCGACTGGCATCATCCCAACCCCGACGCGCTGACGCAGCTGCCGTGGAGCAGCCCAGACCCCAATTGTCAGCACGACACCTCCCACCGCCAACAACTCGAACATCAACGACATCAACCACACCCAAGGTTGTTGGCACAACACCATGACAAACACAAAATTGCTACATTAACTCTGGATAGTACTACAATAAGTACAACACCTTCAATTATGTGTGTGTACTTTTCTTCTTCTTCTGCTTGCGCGCGCTCTGGCGGCTTCTTTTCGCTCGCTCTCTCTCTCTCACACACGGTGCAGTACATGGACTCATTCGCGAGGCTCGGGGCATTTTTCTTCCGGCAGTTTGATCAAAGAGACCACTTCTGGATTCCATCAACAGGCCCTCCGTCTGCTTCTGGGATTGATTGCTTTTGCAGGGATTATTATTGACAACTTGACACCATGCCTCAGACGGTTGCCGCTTACGCTGCCTACGGCCAGGCCGAGGCACTGAAGCCCTTTGATGTGGAGCGCCGCGATCTGCGCGAGGAGGACGTGGAGATTGATATCCTCTACTGCGGTGTCTGCCACTCGGACATTCACACCGTCAACAACGACTGGGGAGGTTCCAGCTACCCCGTGGTGCCCGGTCACGAGATTGTTGGCAAGGTTGCGCGCGTCGGTTCTGCCGTCACCCGCTTCCAAGTCGGCCAGCACGTGGCCGTGGGTTGCATGGTGGACTCGTGCCGCAAGTGCAACTTCTGTGAACGTGACCTTGAGCAGCACTGCACCTCTGGTTTCACCGGCACTTACGGTGGCAAGGACCGCGTGGATGGCACCACCACCTATGGCGGTTACTCGCAAAAGGTGGTTGTAGCTGACAAATTTGTCCTCTCGATGCCCGAGGGCCTGGACCTGGCCGCGGCTACCCCCCTTCTTTGCGCCGGTATCACCACCTACTCCCCGCTCCGTCGCTTCAAGTGCGGTCCCGGCAAGAAGGTCGCCGTCGTTGGCCTTGGTGGCCTCGGCCACATGGCTCTCAAGCTCGCCCATGCCATGGGCGCTGAGGTCACCCTGTTTACCCGCTCCCCCGGCAAGGAGGCCGATGCTCGCCGCCTTGGTGCCTCCAACGTCATCATCTCCAGTGACCCCGAGGCCATGAAGGCCGCTGCCAACACTTTCGACCTGATTGTTGATACCGTTCCCTACGACCACGACCTCAATCCCTACATCGCCACCCTCAACTGCGTCGGCACCATTTCCGTTGTTGGCTACCTGGGTCCTCTCGGTACCACCCTCAACACTGCCCCCCTGGTCTTCCAATCCAAGGGCGTGGTCGGCTCCCTCATTGGCGGCATTGCCGAGACCCAAGAGATGCTCGACTTTTGCGGTGAGAAGAAGGTCGTCTCTGATATCGAGATGATCAAGATGGAGGAGATTAACGTGGCTTACGAGCGCATGATGAAGAGCGACGTCAAGTACCGCTTTGTCATTGACATCTCCTCCCTGAACAAGAACTAGACGCGATGCTTCTTCCATCGGGACGTCATGGGGACAGTGTGGAGAAGGGCGCGGCGGCTGGGACTTCCGGGATCTTTTTCGTCATAAAACTTTTTCTCCGTGCCGAAGCACTGCCGCTGGGATGGCGAGTGTTTGTGCGCGCTGCCGCTGGGATGGCAGCGTGCAACCTTCATCTTCCACTGAACCTGCTTGCTCTGTGAGTCAACCATTGTATGCGCAAACCGTCGTGTGAATCGATCTGATTGCCAGCATGCCATGAATCACTCTCCAGTCCCACATTCCAATCCCCCACGTCGCATTGAATTATGATGTCTGGTGTGGACCACGAGCGTGTTCATGTACTGACCATGACAAGTGAATTAACATGCTATTGGAATAACGCGGAAAAAAAAAATAGTGTCCAACAACTCAAGGACTCTTATAGTGACCCGGGCCCGCATGCCCCAGTTCGGCATAATCCAGGTAGAACGAGGCATGGCGTGGGCGCGTCAGTATATGACACATCTTACAAATATTTCTTAGCGTTGGGGGTTTACAGGCGCAAATTCTCATACCACACGACATGATTGGCATTCTCGCCAGTCGCGACAACGTCCACGTCGCCGTCCTGGTCCACGTCCAGGGCCACGAGCGAATTGGGCTGGCTCAAACCCTGGCCCAGAATCAGCTTGTTGGTGAAGCGCCCCCCGCCAAGGTTGCGAAACCACACCACCTGTTGACTGGAGAAGCTAGTCGTCAAAATGTCCAAATGCCCGTCTCCATTCAGGTCAGCCAAATGCAATGCGACAGGTGTGGCCACCGAGTTGGAGACCAGTTCCCCGCTGAATTGGCCATTGAGTTGGTTAAACATGATCACCACGCTGTTGCTGATGGAAGCGACCAGGACAACGTCCAAGTCTCCATCGTTGTCCAAGTCGCCCAGTTCGATGGCTCGCGGGTAATCAGCACCCAGGGTCGGCAACACACCAGAAAAGTAAAACGTGCCTGTGGGACTCCCGGTATACAACGCCACTTCATCCGCCGAGGTGCGCATCACCACCAAGTCCGCATACCCATCGTTGTTCATGTCCCCGCTGCGCACGGAAAAGGCCGATGGAGAGTTGGCCGTGCCCGAGACCACCTGAGAGGGCCCGCTCCAGGTGGATCCACCTTGAACCAAATAGATGGCGTCCTTGTTCTCGGTTGCAATGACAAAATCTGAAAAGCCATCCTTGTTCAATGCAAGCTCGTCCAAGGACACGGGGGCATCAAGCTTGTCCGCCACAACCGTCGAGCTGAATGTTCCCGCTGACGGGTTGGTATTGGTGTAGGCCACAACGGAACCGCCATCGGCGTCTGCCACGAGGAAGTCCTTGAAACCGTCATTGTTGGTGTCCATGACCAGAATGGCGTGTGGAGAGGCAAGGGCATACGTGACGACGTTGATGCTGGATGCGAAGGATCCATTTCCTAGATTGTAGGCAATGCCAACCTGGCCGAACGTCAAGCTGGTAAAGAGAATGTCCATGATGCCATCATTATTCATGTCACCCCGCGCCAGCGCATAGGGGTGGGTAAAAGATGCGGTGATGAGCTTTGCCGTGGCAAAGGTGGGTTCGCCCAGAGTTGCAACGTGCTGACGTAAAGACTCGAGAGCAGTGGTCAGAGCAGCGTTTTGAGCCACCACGTCCACCCCGTTTATATAAACCACTCGTGAGGTGCCCTCCGTCACGCTTGGGGTCTCAATGTGCAGATTACCCTCCTCGTCCGTAACAAGACTGGGTACGCCGGCTCGGGTTGTTGTCAGCAGCGCCAGCAGCGCCAAGGTCATCCACGCCAGCCACATCTTACGGCAAGGCACGGCCAAGCCCCGGATCCTTGTGCTTCGGTCAGCGCATCGCATCGCCATGCGTTGCGCCTCCATTCTTCTTTTAGTGTGTGTATGTGTGAGCGTCGCAAAGCCGGGCCCCAATCACCACCAAATCGCAAAAAGATGAGCACTGTACGACGCACAATGCGGATGATACGATGGCTCCCTTCCTCTCAGAAAGTCAGGATCCACTCGATCAAGTCACCAAGCCAGCGGCAGCGACGGCGAGAAAATGATCGGCGCGCGAGGCTGAGCACATTTTGACATTTCGTATGGGTGGGCGGAAGAGGTGACTTTTGGTAGACTAATATACGGATGTTGCTGTTTTGTTAGGGACTAATATGAGATTTATTGTAGCGAACGCATCGGTTTGTGTTTATGTAGACGAATGCGTTGTTAGGCTCCCCAAATAGAAAAGGTGACGTTCCCACTTCGAAGCGGAAGGACCAGCTGAATGTCAGATTTAAATGTCAGATGATATTCCTAATGCTGAAGAGGTGAACTAAAAACTCAAACGTCCTTCGACTTAGTGCGGATCCACTTGACCGACTTGGGCCTCCAGCTGCAGGCAGACGCAGTGTGGCTGGGACACATGGGTGAGGCAGAGGTTTGCTCAGAGCCCGCCAGCGCGCAGAGCTATTCTCAAAACCGTCGCCGCCAACAACAGGCCTAAAAGACAGGGCACGTTGACATGAGCTCGAGTCATCTTCTCGTGCAGCGCGACCGACCGAATTCAAGGGACAGCAACTGACCGCCTGATGGAATCGGAAATGCGCTGTCGCCTCCAACGGCTGCGGCACTGTTGGTAGTTGTCGTATCTGGCTGGACCGTTGAGAGACCAAGTGCCGCCTGCCATGCCAAGCACAAGGAGGTTGACCCCCGCAAGTACGTGGCATACGCGGTCGCGTCCACCTTGGCCAGGTGTGCCACGAGCTGAGCCAGAAGCGGGACGCCCACGGGGCCGTCGGAGCCTGCCGCACACAGCGTCTGGACTTCCGCGAGGGATGGGGTTTCTGTGGCAATTGTAGAGGAGTTGACTGTTGTCATCGCTAGCACCTCGGTCACCGCGCTGGGCCAATCAATAGCTGCTGCTTGCGCATCGAGGGCTCCTGAATCCGCTCTCGGGTCATCCAAGGGTAGGCCGACAAAGTCAAAGCACTCGTCGCTCAAGGTGAAGCCGGTCGAGGCGCGCACCACACCCAGGCTTGCGTTGGTGCAGGCGAGCTGGCTAAACCACGCACAGAGCAGCCCGGGATCGTTGGATGCAGCGCCACCTGCCACAACACCACCCATGGCATAGCCACAATCGTCGTGACGCACTGCATTGTGTAGGGCCGCCTGCGTCAGCCATGCACAAAAGGTGTCAGCATCGGCCGCGGAAGCCACATTGGCCACTGGGAGCACACCAGGCCCAGCCTCCGGTGTGGAGGACCAATTTTTCAAGAAGTCTGGTGGGATGGGGCTGAGTGAAATGAACACGGCAACGGCTTCGTGGCGTGCCATCGCCTCCTGAAGAATGCGCTCAAGCAGCTCCGCCTCTGCTGCAACGCTACCATTCAGGCTCAGCAGTGTCACGCCCAACGGCGACGGGGCAATTGGTGAATAAAGGTTCGGGGCAGCCACCACGGTTGTATCATTGTACCAGGTAGCGTTGAAGGAAACACCTGCGCCCAGTTGGGCACCGGGGTAGGCGCGGCGTGGGCGGACGCTGCGTGCAGCACAATGGGGATCTTGGCTGGCGGGTTCCTGCTGATGTCCCCAATGGACAAGTGCATCGAGCGTCGAGTTGATCAGGGCTTTGCCGTTGCTCAAGGACGGGCCCACTCCCATGCCAGCATCAAAGATCCTAGAGTCGCCCAAACGGGACATCAAGAGGACACGCATGTCACACAAAGATGAGCGCATGAGCCTGCCTGTTGGAACCGGGAAAGAAACAGAGGCGGGAGGGGGAAGGATGAGTTGTAGCTTTCAAACATACCCAAAGCCCTGGTCTAGCTCCCACCAAGACCAACCAATGCCTTGAGCATCGAGAAGCGCAGCCGCGTCGAGTGCCCAGCGGGGAATAGCGGCTGGAGGCGAGACCAAGCGGTAAACACCAAACTCTGTGCAGACAGCACTCAGATTATGTTGACGGAGCCAATCAAAGGCAGGGGCAAGCGTGTTGAAGAGACGATGTGCATTCCACTGCAGCGAGCCGTAATATTCAATCAGATTCCGAATGGTTGAGTTGGTCTCCGCTGCCGCCAGTGTCGCCACGTTGGTAGGTGTGGATGGGTAAGGCAAGTCGTGCAGCATCTGATATGCATACCAGCCCCAGGTGGCACCTTGGTGCGTAAAGACTCCTGGGTCATAGGTGTGAAAGGTGTAGACGACATGGCGCTTGTTGACGGGAGGCGTCATCTGGGCCAAAGCGGCGTACGTATTCCACGCATTCTCGCTCACCCGCAGGTTGGCATCCACAATCACGGTGAAATCAGGGGCCACCTATGCACAACCATAAGAAAAAAAAAATAAAATAAAATAAAGACATGCGCATATTAAGAGTGTCGTGCGTGAGAGAATTGGTGAAGACGCCGGAATCCAACACAGGTGCGTGCCTCATGAATGCAGGTGGTCAGGGCCTGGGCCATGGCATCCCAAGGGGCCACGGTGGGAAAGGATGGCTCGTTCAGCAGCTCAAGAAAAAGGACATCGGGGCTGTAGTAGTGTGCTAGGTGCGTTGCCCAGCCACGCCAAAGCGCACAAAAGGTCGCTGTGCTGATGGTACCGTCCCTTAGCTTAGCGTGAAAGGTCTCGGTGGCATGAAAGTCGAGAATGACCGCGAGACCAGCATCCAAGATGCGCTGCAGCCCGGTGTGGACCTCGGCGAAGAGCTGCGCATCAAACCCGTACGTGCTGTTGGCTACCCAGCTTTCATCCACAGGCAGGCGCACATGGTTCAAGCCAAGCTGTTTCAACAGGGCAAAGTCGGCTGCAGTAAAACGCTGGGCGCTGTACGTAGAGGTCTGTGAGTACCAATGGGCGGCATTGACGCCACGTCGCATACGTCGGAGCCGCATCCGATCCTGCGCTTCCAGCAGCCGCTCAATCCCATCACCCCCGGTGACTGGCGCTGCCAAGCCCACCAGCACCACCCCCACAATCCCCATCCACACCGCCGTCATTGCACCCCGTCAAAACTGGCTCAACCTCCCCCAATGCCCTCCCCCGCGCGCCTCACCCCAATCCTCAAAAAACGAACTCGCGCCCTTTTCAAGTAGGGCTTGTTGTTTCTTGTTTCACAAAACACGAACACACACACACAAAAAAGAGTGTGAGAATAAAAAAAACAAAAACATCCTTTTAAGGAGGATGTGAGGATCTCGAGTGTTTCCTGGGTCGGCCGGCAAATACCGGGCAGATCAAGGATTGGAGAGCGTGCCTTGTTGTGCTTGCCATCGCATTGGTGTCGTGGTTTGCCAGCTTTATCGAATACTGACGAGAGAGAGATGCGATTCAATTTTGCTCAGCAAAATCGCTGATGGGCTCGGCGCCATCGGTGCAACACCCATTCATAGTGCTCAGTCAGGGGCCAGACTTGGGCTGTACTCGTAGCCAGGCCTCACCCGAGATTGGAAACATACAACTGATGGCGCGAGCACTCGCGCACTCACGTACACATGCACACACACGCTGCTGAGGATAGCTACGAGCTCAAGGTCGTTTGAGCATAGATGCCAGCTAAGCAGGAGACGAGGAGAACGGTGACCACAAAAGGTGAAGCAAGGGGGGCATCACCGCCCTGATGCTTTGCAGCGGTGCTGTTTCCATTTGCATGGCTGGAACTGCGGCTGGGACCGGGGCCGGGAAGCGTCGTGGACGGCTTGCTGGCTGGGTTCGAGTCGGTGCTGGCTTTGGTGTCCTTGCCTTGTGGAACGTTTGGAGGGGCCTGGGCGCGTGCATAGCCATAGACGCCTAGCAAAGTGAGGAGAATACCGGTGCTCTGGCGGGTCGATAGGTCGAGGCCCAAGAGAAACGTGCTGCCGAAGATCATGATGCCGCGCTTGAGGGAATTCAGAAGGGAATGAAAGAGTGGGGTCACGGCCACCAGCATGATGACGGCGGCCAGCTGGTACATGGCAAAGTGTGTGGCTGCCCAGGTGAAGCGCATGCGCGTGGTAGGGTCATGATGCAGCCAAGCCCAAGTGTCAAAGGGGGCGGGCTCGGGTTCGTCATTGGTGGCGGAAGCCATCTCGAGTGCAGCCATGGAGATGCCGTTGAGGTGTTGCATGGCCCAGTTGAGCAGGGGTGCTATGAGGAGAAGGAGGACGGTTCCTTGCAGACTCCAAAACAGCTGGAGGGTGAGGGTACGTTGCGTCTGTGAGAGCCCCAGGAGGGCCTCTGGCAGGGCATGGCCACCCAGCATATGCTTTCCGTAGACGTTGCGCAGCTGCTGGAAGAGGTTGGAAGCAGCAGCCAGCACCAGCGAGCCGAGGTGGACCTCGAAGCTGCTGGCCACGGTAATGACACAACCAAGGACGGCGAGACAGACGGCACCCAACGCCGCGGTTGTTGGCACGTGTCCATCGATGATGACGAGAAGAGCTAGGGCGAATAAAGGCTCAAGAGCCTTGACAATGTAGGTGAGCCCGATGGACGATCCCACAAGGGCCGCGCAAGTTGCCCAGGAGGCGATCGCAAAGCACAGTGACGTGAATAGAAACTGGCGATGCACGTCCCATGACGCGAGCAGCGACAGAAGAGCCCGTCGATCGGAGACCGACCACAGGCTCGCCACAATCACAATCAAGACGGCTTGCGCGGCCAGCTGGCTGGCGGTTGCCGTCTGCGGGTCCACGTGAAATGACTTCATCATCGCACTCGTGACGAGCGCAAACTGTAGGCTGTGCACATACCAGGCGGCCGCCACCAGCCACACAACCACGTTGAAAGCCATCATCAGCTCGTCCTCGTGACCTCCAGATACCAGCGCCTGTGATCTGGGCTTGTCGGCGCGGAACAGACGCGAAACAGACGCGGGACAGATGCGGAACTCGTCCGATCGCCCGCAACCTCTGGGCGCACACGTGCTGTGCAGTCACACACGCTCGCCTACGAGATTTCAATTTCGTCATCAGCAAGCCGAATCAACAGAAAAAAAAAAGGGCCTTGCCCAGCACCTTCCTCCTCCACCAACCTCCGAAGCAGGAGCCCTGACCCCAGAACCAAAAGACAACGCCGACGACAGGCCACACCGACTGCCGTTTGATCCCACACACACACACACACACACACACACACACACACACACACACACACACACACACACACACACACACACACACACACACATACCTTCCAACCACCACCAGCAGCCCAAATGTCAGACGCATTCCACCGCCTGACAAAACGAGGTTGTGAACAGGTGTTATCCACCCTCCGTCTGAAACTTTATGTCAGACAAAAATATGAGAGAGGAGAGAGAGAGTGTGTGTGTGTCTGTGTTTGAAGTTCTTGACAACGAGACACACACACAGAGACGCCCACATGACACGACCAGCTGCTGAGGGACGCGTGACAGTGTGTGTGTGTGTGTGTGTGCGATCAGGCGAGACAGGACTTTTGGCAACGGCCCCTCCAGCGCGGTGGACGCGGGTTGTTTTGGGGCAAGCCGTGGCTGGGCTGGATCTACTGGCTGGGAAGATTGATCAGCGTTGGACTCTCGGTGCGACGAGAAAACGGAGCAGGTGCGCGTCTCAGTCCTCGTTTGTGCAGTGGCTACTGGACCTCAGAGCGCCCCTGCTGATGTGCGGCCTTGGTCTCCGGGTCAGATTTGAAACAAGCAAAGCCGAGTCGGGGGGGGGTGGGGATTGCGCTTCTCAAGGTGAAGATACCCTTTTCGTGTGAGCGAGCAACGCTCTTGGCTGTTCCTTGTCTGTCCACGCCTCGAGAGCGGACGTGACTGAGGCACTCCGACCCCGTTTCTCTACAACGCGGCCCTTGCCCTGTATTTTTGCTGGCTCCTCTCGTCCCTCTAATCGCATCCAAGCTGCCACCATGTCGCTCAAGATTCTCGTGTTCATGTAAGCATCGAGTCTTGCTTGCCCTACGCCCTCACCCTCGCTCTTGTGGCCTGTTCGGGCGACGGCTCATCCATTTTGTCGGCACTGCTTTGTGGATTGCACGGGATGGCTTGTGTATTGCCGTTGTACCCCTGGCCACAGCAACGGCAATGTGGTGACATCGGCACAACCGCTGGTGCTGTCCAAATCCATCAACAGCCTGGACGTTGTGTTCGATCGCCTGACCACGCGCCTGCGGCCCAATTTCGGTGCCGTGCGTCGCCTATACACGCTTGCGGGCAAACGTGTCCACGAATTTGGTGACCTCGAGGACAACCATCACTATGTGGCAGCAGGCAACACTGGCTTTAAGCGGGCACAGTATCGCGGCGTTGAACTCAGTCACGCCTCCACACGCGCCCAGGCAGCCAATCACAGCCCAACTGCCACAACCATTCTCGTCGCCAAAAATGGCGAGTCTCACGCTCCCATTCGCATTCCCATCCCTTTGGCCGCCACCACCTTCGAGCAAGTGCTCAAGCTCATGGCTACCCGCATCAGCTTGGGGCAAGGCCAAGTCCGGAAACTCTATACCAGCAATGGTCACCTGGTTACACACATTGACCAACTCAAGCACCAGGAATTGTACGTTGCTGCAGACACCGACCCTTTCAAACCACTTTCCTACAACATGTGGAAGGGCACCCACAGCACGGCATCCCTTCCAGGCTCCACACCAGCCACCGCACGTCGCAACAAATCCAAGGCCCACATCCGCACGACCAAGTTTGACGCCCTCCAAGAGCAGATACAGGCCCTGGTTCAGGATCGAAAGCGACTGCGGGCGCTCTGGCGCGCTCTCGACCTAAACAACAACGGCATTGTCAGGTATGTAGCAATCTGCATCCTCATGCCCGCCTTCTTCGCGCTCTTCGCTTTGGTTTGCACCCTTGTTCAAAGCATGTTCGGGCTCAACGCCCCGGGCCCCCGCACCCCCAATCGCAGTCTGGCTGAAGTTGACAAGCTGGTCCTAGAACGCTTCCCTCTCTTGAATCACAAGCCCGCCCTTATGCGGGCTTTCAAGTATACTACCCTCCGGGACGGTGATGGGGACGCCTGGATTGAACGCAAGGAGTTTCCTCCCCTCCTCCGCAACATCTTCTTCTTCAACAAGCTATTCCATATCTTTGAACAGGTGATATTTCGATCTGCATCAACTGCTCGCTTTTTGCTCACCGCCCTCCGCCGCCTGGGATGCTATCCGCTCACGTCTTGCTTGCGGGTGCCTGTCGCATGCGTACACGTACCATTGCAGCTGGACAGCAACCACGACCGCCGGATTGACCCAGTCGAATTCCGCGAAAACAGCCATACCATCGGCCTCAAGCTCTCCGATGCTGAGCTTGTCGCCGCCTTTGCTGAACTCGATGTGAATCACGGTGGCCACATTCTCTTTGGTACGTTGACTTGGCTGGATCTCGCAAACGTGCAGGATCGCTCGTCTCAAAGCCTCTTTCTCTGATCGTGTCTGATCTGCGCTCTGCACCCGTTGCTTTTCATGCATCGTGTTTTCCTTTGATCATAAACTTGTTTGCACAGACGAGTTTTGCTCCTGGGTGGCTCGTGTGGAGTGCCCTGTCGATGGTGACATTCTAGAAGGCAGCACGCGTGCTAGTGCCACCATGGATATTCAGCAGGTGCGTGATGCCTGCAGAACAGTATGCCGCCATGTGCAAGGGCCATGAGTGCGCCTTTTCGAGCCCAGTACTTTTCCCACTTGACACGTGCTCCTCACCACTCATCATTGCCTGCATACATCACACATGGTGCGCGCAATCTCTCGCTTCTTGTGCGCCTCTTCATAGCACTCCCGCACGCAGGGTTCAAAGCCACGCTCGGCTCTGGCTGATAAGGACATCCGTCTCGTCTGCACCCAGTTCGATGAAGTTGAACCACAAATTCAGGCCTTGCTGCACGACCCAGAAGCACTGCAGGCTGCGTGGCGTGCTCTTGATTACAATGGCAATGGCATCTGCAGTCTGGCTGAGGTGGACAAGTGGACGAGCACCCAGTTTCCCATGCTGGATCACAAACCAGCTCTCATGCGCGCTTTCAAGCAGACTACCCTCGTGGACGGCGACCAAGACGCCTGGGTTGAAAAGGCCGAGTTTCCTGCTCTTATTCGCAACATCTTTACCTTTAACCTTCTCTTTCACATCTTTGATCATATCGACCGGGTACGCGTAACGGTCCAGATGGAGTTGGCTTGTGATTGCTCCCAGCTCGCGAATCTTGCTCTGCTGCCTCTCTGATTTTCTCTCATTCTGGCCCACCTTTGATCATCTGCTTACTTATTGCTTGACTTGTGCACCATTTGTTATAGGATGATGATCGACGCATCAATTTTGAGGAATTTCAACAAGGCGTGGAGACTGTAGGCTTCCTGTCCCCCCCCCCCCCCCAACATTCATGATCATCAATGCCAACCCCCTCACGCCCTCACGCCCATATCACATCTGGTTTCAGGTCGGTGCCAGTCTCAGCTCAAAACAAGCGGCACGTGAGTTTGAGAACATGGACAGTAACGACGGTGGCGTAGTCCTGTTTGACGAGTTTTGTGCTTGGGTGGTATGTCCATCGGTCTCTGTCAAGCGAATGCTGCTTTCAGACTTCTCTGTTATCCTTAACCAAGACAATGCGTGCGCTTGGTCCAGGCACGCAACAAATATCCAGTCAACAGCATTGTGCTTTCCGACTTTACCATGGCCAGTACCGAAATGGAAAAGCAGGCGGCCACAGCCCAAAAGCAAGCCACCCAATCTCGAGATGTCGTGCCCGATATTGTGACTCGCCGCTTTGATTTGGTGGAAAAGGACATCAAGTCCCTCGTCGCTGACGCTGCGCGTTTGCGGCGTGCTTGGAACCAAATGGACTACAATGGCAATGGCAAAGTATCCCTGGTGCGTCGGGCTGTGAGCTTCGCCTTCTTGTCCTTGTTTGTGTGCTGAGGTTTTTGGCTTCGTCTTCTGTTCAGCTTGATTCTTTTAGCACTTTAACGATCGTCACTTTTTTTTCACTTCTCCTGTCCCTGTGATTGAATAGGCGGAGATTGACAAGTTTGTGGTGGAGCGTTACCCTGTACTCAATCACAAACCAGCATTGATGCGAGCTTACAAAAAGACGACGGTGGGATTCGTCTCTTTCGCCTCGCTCACCTCGCAGCAGCGCAACTGCAACAGTGTCTCAAGCCCATGAGTCACGTTTTACCACGTAGATCAAGGATGGTGATGGCGACCCCTGGATCGAAAAGCATGAATTTGTTGCGCTCTTGATCAACATAGTCTACTTTGTTAAGGTGAGAGTGCCAGGCTACTTCCCCGGCACGTTTGACCAGTCAACTTTCGGCAGCAACTTGTTGGGGAGTAAATTGCATCGCTCCACACAAGGTTTGACGTAGCCGCTTCATGTCCTCCTCACCCGACCCATGCTTCTCGCGTTGTGTCAGGTGTTTTGCGTATTTGCAGACTTGGACCGAGGAGCAGACCGTCGCCTGAATTTTGCCGAATTTTACAGCGGCCTCGATCACTTGGGCATGCATATGGACAAGGAGGAAGCGCGTGACGTCTTTGCACGGATCGACACCAACAAGGGGGGGCAGGTGCGTTGCTTTGCCAAATCATTGTACCATGTTTCCCTGAATCCCTCACGTCGTCTCGGCTTTTGCTCATGCTCGGTTTGTGGTCGGTGCTTGCTTTTAGATCTTGTTTGACGAATTTTGCGCATGGCTGGCGCGTGAATCGGTGCCTGTGGATGATCAGGTCGTAACAGCGTTTACAACTGCCGCATAGGGCCCAGAGTCCCCCTTCCTTTTTCGTGATTGCGCTGAGTTGAGTATTGGCGCCTTAGCCACTCATTTTTTGTGCCTGAAGCCCGTTTGATTTTTTTTGTGTGTATGTGTACCATATAAGCCCACCTCTCACATGTGTACAGTCCAACCCTCTCGTTTCACCTCCCCGTTTGAGTGTGCTTTATTCGGGTCAAGGCGATACCACCGCTTGCCCTACCTACCCTCGACCACTTTGCTGCATATTTCAAAAAAAAGCGTTGAGAACATAATAACAGTGATTGAGCATGTCACTTTCAATTTACCAAGCTTTGCTCCATCCTCTGCCTATCCCGAGCCGGTCAGTACATGCCGAATAGCAACCGTAGTCTACTACGTCGGCCACCACCCACTTTTAGGCTTGTCATGATGGATTCAGGCACTCAGCCTCTACAAACTTGACTGTTCCATCGCTGACGAAACTAGCAAAGCCAGATCTCGTGTAGCTTGCCAGATGTGTTTGTGTGGTCAAACGCTCTGCGCTTGTGAAGACTTGTTAGGCCAAGCCACACCAATAAGTCAGAAAGGCGTGGCCCGCCGCCTGCTGGCCATTTTGAACCACCCTCATGCATTCTAATTTTCGAGTTTCGAGCTAGATGACAACGGCTTCAAACCAATCTGCTGGTTGCTCCTGATAGCCTGGCATGCCGTCGCTGATCCAGGTCAAGATGCCACCCTGTTGACTGGTCAAGCCAGCCTCATCATACTGAAGAGCCAAAGCGTAGCGAATAAAGGGGCCCACACGACCGGAGAACAAAGTCGGCGCCAGTCGACTCAATGCCACGGTGTCGCGAATGTCAGAAAGTTGTACGCAGACCAGACTGTGGTACTGGGGCAGCTCATCAGGCTCGCTCGCATTCGTGTGACCCAGGCCATCGTCCGTCAAGCCCAGCCAGCCACTTGCGGGTTCAAAAAGCAAGGCTACAGGCCGAACGACACTTCCTTGGTACTGATCTTTGTGGAACTTCAGCCGAGTGCCGCGAACAGCCACCTGGTGACCCCAGGGTACCTTGCCTAGCGCGTAGGCCGGCGCAAAAGGCCAGCTGCAGAATGTGGAGGAGGTGGGCATGTGGATGCAAGGAAGGCGGAGCAGCTTGCTGGCCATGACAGCAGCCTCAGCCTCATCCATGGGCAAGATTTCGCCAAATACTCCCCAGATGGGCAAGCCGTAGGCTGCATGAACCCAGTTGTCGGAGGCAGGGTGCGAGAGACGTCGAAGGCGCTCGACCAGATACCAACCATCAGGTGTCCAGCTTATTTCTGGTGGCTGACAGCCAGCTGCACCGCAAGCCGGATCGATTTAAAGTGAACCGGATGAGCATGGCCATCGATGACAAACGGAAGAATGCGATGTGTAGGGTACATTTCTGACAACAGATATTCTTACCGGTTAGGCGTGCTGTGAGGGGTATGAGTCGCAGAACAATGTCACAGGTGGATGCCGGCATTTCCTTGAAGATGATCAGGGCAAGGGCCAGAGAACAGCCCTCGGGCATGATGGGACATTGCAGCAGCGAGCGAAGGGCTGCGCCAGAAACGGAGATGGCCGAGCCCAAGAGCTCATCCAAGCTTCGGGCGCAAATTTGGCCAAGGGTGCGAATACTGGGATAGTTGAGAAACTGCTTGATCAGCATACAACAGCGCATGCGCATTAAAATGCGCCGAGTGGTGAGGGAGTGACAGGAAAGTTCAGCCACCTCGTTGAGCAGGTCGTAGTGAGCGCTGTGATCTTGCAGCAAAAGGTTGCAGGAGAGGGTCTCTTGCAAGGTCCAGAGCCGGCGAAGGTAGGGGCCTGATAGGAACTGCTCTCCATCTTCGCCGTTCGGGCCCAGGGGTAGCGTGAACGAACTCAAGTAAAGAGCGCTCATGAGGGGCCGCTGGTGGGTTTGATGCACGTGATTGAGCTGCATGCACAGCATGTCATACCACAAGTAGGCGTTGAACTGCTTTTGATAATATCGAAGGCGAGCAATGCTGCCGTAAGGCTGAAGAACGCTCCAGGCAGCGAGGGCCAGACCTGGTGGTGGATGCACGTGGACTTGGACGGCGCACGTCTCAGGGGGCGGCCAAACGTGGGAGATGGACACTCGAACGCGAGCAGGGTGCAGCTCGTGCGTGGCTGAGAGGTACACATGGGCATCTTGACCCTCGCCTGCCCATTCAATGCGCTCAATCCAGAGAATGGTCTGAAGAGCTTGGCGGTCGAGGAGGTGCAGAGTCATGTGCTGCCTGTGCGGTTCATGCTCAATCGGTCGGTGTGGCTCGTGGGGGGATGGCCGCGAGGCCATGAGGGCTTGAACGTGAGTTCCGCCTAATTGGGTCGAATCGGCAGAGTCCCTGAGCTCGTCATTCGGGACTGACGCCGATTCGGCAATTGTGTCGGCGTCGGCCGTGGGATGCACGGCAACTGGCGCCAAACGAGGGTGTTGACTCGTGAGGGTGGTCCGTGCAGCCAGCTGCCCGGGTGAAGCCACCGTAAGGCGACCCAGCTGGTCAGTGACGAGATCCGTGGCCAAGCCACTATGCTGCCGCTCGATCTTGAGGGCCAGCGCTTCCAGGTGCAAGCCCTGCATGAGGTGCGAGCTGATCGTGTCCACGACAAAGCCGAAGAGCAGGAGCTGAAGTGGAGAAAACCCATCGGCGATGCGTGCCGCAGCAAAGGTGGGCTGATGAATGATATTTGGGCCCTCCTCAGTCACTTGTTCATATAGGCGCAACACCATGCTGCGCTCCTGGTCACAGCCGGGACAGTTGATGATGTGCATGACAATGGCCCAGGTGGAGTTGAACAGAGTGGGGCCCTGAGGCCAGTTGGTTGCAGCGAGGTCGCTCCAGCTGGGAAGGCGCACGGTAGTGCTGAGCAGGGACAAAAGGTCCGAGGCCCAGGGCAGCATGACATGGTCGGGAAGGCAACCTAGGGGACAAGTTTCGTGTCCGTGGTGTCCCCGGTCGAGGAGAGGCGGCTGAACCCGAACAGGACTCGCAACGGCGCCAAAGTTGTTGTCGACCAGCTGTTGCAGATGGTGAATCAAGTGTTTGGGTAGCAAGCGAGCTGATTTACACCAGGAACCCCCGCCTTGTGATTGGATAGCAGGTCCCATTCCTGTGATACAGTTGTAGTAAGCAAGCGTGGGGGATTGGTCAGCGTGCCGAGGGGTGGTCGCCATGCAAGGTGCTGTCATTCAAGAAGGCGCTCCTTCTGCTCGCCCGTCATCCATACCATGGCCGTGATATCGCTGAGCTCCACCGGCGCAAGGCCGTCGGAGGTGTCGGCCATCGTGGCGGCAAGGTCTGGCTCTTGAGCTGCAAGCCATGCACAACCGATCTCATGAGTCCAAACACGACCGTCATCTCCCTCCACGTTCCTCAATCCTTCTACTTTCCAATTTTTCGTACGTTTCCTTCCTCCCTTGACCTTGTGGCCTGTTTACCTGCTGGTCTGCCCCCGCACCACCCCGATCCAGCACCTGTTCTGACCCCTCGGAACGGCAGCTCGTGTCGGTTCTTCAGTGTGTGTCGACGTCGAATGAAAGCAGCCTGAACGTAACTGTACCCCTTACCACACTTTGAGTTGAGTTGTCAGATTATAATGTCAGATGGATTTGTATGTTGAACAGCTGACAACACAACGAGGTGTTGTGCATGAGTCCAAGCACCTGCCCTGAGCGATGGCGAAGCATCTCTGAAGGGCAGAGCACACATGTATTATCTATCCCCTTGGGTTGCCGTTGACATGTAAACAATCAATTCACCACGTCTCATTCGACACATGACACCTGTGAAAACAAAACAAAGTCCTCACGACACATGTGTCATGGGGACACGACACGCGAGCGCACCTAGTCAACTCTGCCTTTGGCGCAGATACTGCTGCCATAATGTGAAACACCATGACTTTTTGAATTGGTGGATGTCAAAGTGTGTGGGGGCGGAGAGCACAGCGGCCACCACCGAATTAAACCGGATAATAGTAGCCTTGCAGCGACAGACCGTTAATACCGCCGGCCAGGGTGCAGTAGGCCACCACCGAAACGGTGTGTGTACCAGCATCAAGAACACGCGCACGCGAGTGCACTGCAAAGGTCCGCAGCGCCGAACATGAGTTCCGCTTTGAGCCTGGCACGCCCTGCAGAGCGGAGTCGTCGCAACGTACCAAAGTTGTCCCAATTCGTGGCGTAGGTATGTGCAGGCCCAAGGTTGGTGAGCGTGACGCTCGAGAGCGGCGCAACAAGCGCCGCGTCAGCCGGGTCGCTGCTTCCATAATCAATCAGAGCGTAGCAATAGCCACCCGTGGCCACACGGGCGTGGCTAGCGAGCAACCCGAACACCACACTGCGGCGCTACAGACCACCACCACCGCCACCGTGTCCGTGAGGCGCTGCCTCAAGGGTTCATGATTTTACGTCGGTCGCAATTTCACGCACCTTCAGCGTCAGGTCTGTGGAGCACAAGGTGGTCGTCACCCCGGCAGCCAGGTTTTGAGTCCAGGCTGGAGTACACGTGAAAGCCCCGGCGGACGTCTCGTCAAAAGCAGGACGCTCCATCCAGAACCCTTGACTGCCGGCAAGGTTGAATGACCCCCCGACTGCCGCGTATAAAACGGGCGTGGCCGTCAAGGCGCCCGAGTAGACACCCACACGGCCAGTACCAAAGGTGCACCATTGCGTGCGGTAGGTATGCGCTGGGGCACGCGATTGGATGGCGATGTCCGCCACGACGCTGACGTCGCCGTATGCGACCGATCCGTACATCCAGGACGACTGCACTTGGCCATGGCCGTTGAAAAAGGTGTACACGATGGACGAGTCGGCCACGGTCATGGAGTTATCGCACAGTTCGGTCACATCAGTTGAAACGGCTCGGCTCCATTCACTGTTGGCGTCGCACAACCCGCGCCGTGCTAGAGTGAGTGGCGGAATTCGAGGCTGAGACAGTGTGTTGCTTAGCGACTTACGAGTAGGTACAGTAATAGCTGTTTGCGGTCTCCCGCTTGGGCAAAACAACAACTTGGAGGCCAGCACCGTTAAAGTCGACATTGCCGCTGGTTTGGACAAGCAGGGTGACCTTGAGCGAGCCTGGATGCAGGCGCGCAACGTGAGCTGACACACACACACACACACACACACACACACACACACACACACACACACACACACAGTTGGACTAGAATGACCAGGAGAGGTTCGCACTGACCAGCGGGCACGGTGTCAATGCGTTCGGCATGGATATTATCCCATTGCGTCGAGTACGTATGGGCTGGGCCATACCTGGCCATCCCAGCAAGCCCCCATTGCTGCACGTCGTCGTTGAAGGCCATATTGGCATAAACCCTGGCAGACACAGAATTTCGCCATCCCCACGATGGGCTGAGCAGGCACGGGTCACACCCCCGGGGGCAAAAATTGGGCGCAAACACACCAGCTCGATTCCATTTTTGCGTGGCCTGTGAAAAAGGCATGCACCACAGACTCGGTCGCAAGGTTGATAGTCAGCTCGCAACGCGCCGAGGTTGGTGTGGTGCTTGCCAGCGACCAGCCCCAAACGCAGGAGGCCGTGTGCACCTCGGCCATGTAAAGCGTCTCGGCGGTGGTGACGTCGGTGACAAATTCGGAATCTGGGATGCAGCCACAAACATGGAGGTAAGACCAGGCCGGACTGAGCCTCTGATTAGCGGGCAAGCCATACCAATCAAGGGCGTGATGATGCGGATCGAAGCTTGAATGCGTTGTCCGTTGAACTGAGTCAGATCAATGCCGATGCGGCGTGTCGCCACGTCGTCGACGAAACGGTACTCGTATTCGGTTGCGTCAATGCCCTAGCAGATGAGCAACGTGCAAACCCAAAAGCACGTCGTACGAGTGAGGTTGCGGGCGGGGTGAGGTTGCAGGCAGCGGGACTGGCTGGGCAGCATGAAAAGAAGGATCATTGGTGTCACTGTGGCTGACCTTAAAGCGAACTTCAAATCCAGATATCTTGTAAGCAAAGGGCACAACGGCAAAGTCAAGGCGAAGGAGGGCGCCCTCCAAGGTTGCGTTGAGGCTTGCAATGGCAGGTGTCAGCGCTGCGCGCGTCCAGGCTGCGATCTATCAAAACAACCCGCGACGTGAGCATTTTAACAAGGAATATCCCTCAAGGGCGTGGTACCTCGGCATCAGTGGGCTGCAAGGCGACGGCAAGTTCGTCTTTGGCCGTTTGGATCTGTTCGGTGACTTGCGTAGCCGTGATGCGGTCTGTCTTGAGCTCTTCTACTTCAGACTGAAGCGCGTCCAGGATGGCATCGTGGAGCGAGGATGTATTAAGCGCATCAATGATTGATTCATTGAGGGCGAGCGTCACGTTGGTGTGGGCCAGCTCGTCCATGGCGATCTCAAACTCGACAAGCGTGTTCTCGATGCGGTCACGCTCGGCCTGGTTCCAGGCACGATCCTGGTCCGCGGTTGCTTCGACTGCGGCAATCTTGCTCTCTGTAAAGTTCTGAAAGCAGCCACGGGTCAAGGTGGGATGGTGCCGAGAATGGCAGGGGCAAGGACCATCAAGAAAAACCAACCTGACCCTCGATTTGAACCTGCTCGACTTGGCTGTTCACGTAAGCTTCCAGAGCGGTCATAGTCTCCTCCATCTGAGTATGGTGTTCTTCTAGCTCTTGTTTGGCCACTGCAATGGCCTGCCAAAGGTGTACACGGAGAGGGGTAACTCGAAGTAAGATGCGGGCGGGTTTCTGGCTTTGGGAGGCGCGAGGGTGGACTGTGGTAACTTACGTCGAGGGCCAGTGCGTACTGGTGTGCTTCGATGGCCTCCAGGGAGTAGGTTCCCGTGGCATTCTGAAACTGGACGGTTCCACTTGAGAGCACAAAGACGAGGTTCCCGCCGTCGACCTCGATGACCGGGGCGTCTGTGTGGAGACACGGGTGACGTGGCGCAGATTCAAAGAGGACAGCCGCCACCGAGATTTTGCAGGTGTGGGGGGAGACCCGCGAATTGGGAGGCGAGGTGTGGAGATGCAGGAAAAGGAAGAGAGGCTTACCATTAGTGCAGGCGCGGGACTGGTGCAATTGGCTGGCATCGCTGTTGGGGCACGTTGAATTGACAAGGCGCAGGAGCTGCGCACATTGCCAAGGGTGGTGAGCGATCCGGGAGCGGCTCTTTGCAAACGCGCGAGGTAGCGGGGGTGGCGCACATCACGAGTACGATACTGCGTAGCGTTGAAGCAGGTGGACCAGACGGACCAGGGGCCGTACGTGCAGTCGAGGCTGTCGCAGGTTCCCTCGGCGCAGTTGAGCAATTGGATCACGGCATCACAATGGGCAGGGCCGCTCACGCGATCGCGCGTCTGGATGGCCTGACACGCGCCATTGCGGATCGAACACTCGGCAGCCGTCACCCACGCGCCATACTGACACTCTGAATCACCTCGCACGCCGGCCACCAGAAGGATCGCCACCAACCCCAGGGCCGCTGCCATAACCATCTTCGCCGCCCCCTTGGGTCCGATGATGTAAAACACAAACAATGCGTGTGTGTGTGTGTGTGTTGAAAGCAGCCTGAACGTAACTGTACTTTTTACCACACTTTGAGTTTAGTTGTCAGATTATAATGTCAGATGAATTTGGATGCGACGCCATGGTCAAAGCCAGCTAAGCCTTTTGACCAAACACAGCCACCCCTTTTCTCAAACTCTCTCTCTCTCTCTCTCAAACTCTCAAACTCTCTCTCTCTCAAACTCTCTCAAACTCTCTCTCTCTCTCTCAAACTCTCTCTCTCAAACCGACCAAACCAATTCACTCTCTCTCTCTCTCTCTCTCTCTCTCTCTCTCTCTCTCTCTCTCTCTCTCTCTCTCTCTCTCTCTCTCTCTCTCTCTTGCTCTCTTTCTCAAACCGACCAAACCAATTCACTCTCTCTCTCTCACATGTGGTAGTTGTACTTTTCCTTTGTGTCTTTGCTCCTTTCTCAACCGACCACACCAATTCAATCTCTCTCTCTCTCTCTCTCTCTCTCTCTCTCTCTCTCTCTCTCTACTCTCTCTCAATTACTTGTTTGAGGCTGTCTCCGAGTTTGAGGGGTGTGGGGGGTTGTCTTGTCCGAGGATTCACTGACCATCAAGATGGCGAGTAGCCGGTCCTGGCTGCTGATCTTTGCCGCTCTCAGCCTAGTTGCTGCTGCTGGTACCAAGTACAAGGTTTGTTTGCCACCACTTGCTGCAAGGAAGCGTGTGTGGCAGGCATTTCGAGTCCGCGCGCACCCCGAGCTGCCTCGCTCGCCCGCCCGCACACACTCGGCTTTCCCTCCCCCTCTTCCCTCCGATACCACTCACCCTTCATCGCTGTCATTATCCCTCTATAGCTGATTTACAACGTGGGTGACCTTGGCTATACCAAGAGTTCCAAGGGCACGGCCGGTGTTTCTGGCATTTCTTTCGAGGATCAGGTGGCCCTGGATGATGAAACAGGTGAGGCCTGGGCGTAGTTGGGCTTTATTTCTCTGTATCGACCCTCGCACGCCCGCATTTGAAACAATTAAGAAATCAGTTTTCTGTTATCCGAACCCTCACGTCTGCCTCTTCGGTTACAGTTGAGGACATTCAGCAACAAGTGGCCAATCAGACTGGTTTGGATCCCAACGACGTGGAAGTTGGCGGGGTATGTGTGACCAACCCATGCATGCCTCATGCTCACTCTCGCCAACAACGCTATCCCTCACTCTGGACTTGCCACCCACCATTTTTAGCGTGTGAATAACAAAGGTGAAACCGAAATCGTGGTCGAAATTGTAGTCGATGACGAAGAAACGGCTCAAAACATCAGCTTGGAAGAGAGTATGTCTTTCTCTTTTGGTTCATTCAACTCATCTGGCCCAGCAGCCTGGCGCTCCTGATCCTCCTCCCATGTGCCTTGATTCATTGTTCTGTAGTCATCATCAAGGCACGAAACGGTAGCGATGTCACTGTCACGCCTGGTGATCCCAAAGTCGAGGTGGCCGACAATGACGATCATAGTACGAGCTTCCTGATTGCGTTGTGGCACGGCCAGGGCCGGAGGCAATTCATCCTGTCGCTCATCCCCGAATACTCGCCTTCCGATACGGCCATGCTTTAGCCACTTTGATCTTGACCATCATCTTCAGCATTTTGGGCGGCCTCTTGCTGATTGCCGCCTTCGTCTACTCCTACCTCATGTACCGAAAGAAGCAGGTTGGTTCACGGCACCGCGCCTGCCTGACCCGTGACAACAACTCTTCTGATGAGACAGCCTGCACCCTCCTCTGAGCTTCCTTGCCCCCGTCTGACGATTCCTTCTTCCTTTTTTTAGGACCAGAAGGAAAAAAATGGCATTCCGCTCGCCGATCAACACGACCGCCCGCGAATGGAACCCGTCAAGCCCATTGAGGAGGACCCATCAGATGTTGTCGTTGATGTTGGTTCCAATTCTTCCAATTCTTAAACACCCTCTCCTGGCCGTCTCGGCCCGTGTTGACTTGCCAAAGTGTTGACCCGCTGTGCTTGGTGTTGTGTTTGTGGTTGCTGTGCCTGGTGCTGATGCTCATGGGCAAGCACGGTCGTGTCCCCTGTTCCTTGTTTCATGGACAAAAGTGCTGGCCCCCTGAAATCACACAAATGAACTTCCCTCATGATTGACGTGACTGCATGTCTTCGTTCGGGTCACGCGTAATCTTAGGTCTCCCAAACCACCGATCTTCCTGTAGAACCTTCTGCCCAGGATGAACCATCCCAACGTATGCCCGGGAAAGGGGGAAAGCCATCTGCGGATCCACGTGCGCCTCGCATCGCTCATGGCCAGCTACAACAAGGACCTCATTGTGGCTGCGTGTCGTATGTCTAGCCGAATCGCACGACTCGATTGCCCACAAACGGGCGTCATATCGCTGGAATGCGGCTGCCAATGAAGTGGCTGATCCCGCGCCCGGGGGCAAGGTGCAATATGGAACGACAGCAGATGTACGTGCTGCACCACACCAAGGATCATGGGCACGCCACGTGCATCATCCTTGCTGATACGGCGATGGATCTTGTTAACATGTCATAGGTGGCGGATGCCGTGGTCCGAAACCCTGACCAGTTTACTGAGCCTGCCGTCGAAGAAACGCCTGCAGAACAACACGCCACGACAGGTGCAGTGCTTTCCCCTTTTGTGTGAGGTCGCCGCCGCTGTCCCTGATCCCTGGGATTTCCTCGCTGACCCGTGCGCCCGTATTCATTGGTTAGGCGAGCCAGATGACATTGCCTCGCAGCGGGCCACGTACCGCTGGAATGCAGCGGCCAACGAAGTTGCGGATCCACCACCAGGCGGAAAGCCCGTGGAACAGGATATGGGCGATGTACGTACCCGCCAAGTCTCGTTGCTCTGTTGATCTGGCATGCAGTCCTTCTCGACTCTGTTGAAAGACCGTCTGCTCGCGCAACGTCCTAACACGCCATTGTTACGGCCACGGCTCGCGCCCACAGGTGGCTGCCGCTGCCACGGCGACCCAGCCATAGCCAACTCTCTATCTTATGAAGCTCTTGTGTTTGTTCTTAAACCTTCACAGTTTCTTGTTTTCTTTCTTTTGCTTGAGGCCTTACCATTTCTCCAACATAAACCCACCTTCACCAATACACAAATCCACAAGCATACACCAACGAGAGAGAGCAGAAAACATCGTCAGCACCATCACTACCATTTGGTAGCGGGAAAGAGAGGGAGAGAGAGGGAGAGAGAAATTTTGTTGCTGATGATCTCTTTCTGCTGTTGTTGCAACGGACAGCACACACTCTCTCTTTTCGCAGACACACACACACACACACAACGGCGAAAACCGCTTGGAACCGACCGACCTCAAGGTCTGTGCCCTCCCTCTCTCTCTCTCTCGGTCGGTCGGTCGGTCGGTGTCTCGGGAGCACACAGCAGCTGGCTCACCCTAACCCCTGGATCTATCTGGTGTACCTGGAACATACAAACACAGTCAGCTCACGCATATTTCATCGCATGGTCTATAGCCCCGTGGGTAGTCTTAGAGGATTGCTGATGAATCGAACCTTGACCAGCTTAGACTCGATTCGTACGCGTGCTCGCTAGAGGTTGAATATTTGCATACCGGTCAACGGAGAACCTGGACACTTGCGCGTGGAACTGCAGCTTCCAATACGTCTCTTGTCGCAGCAGACGGTACTCGAGCTTGCCCGCCTATCGCCAACGCCCGTCTTCAGGGTCGGTGTCGAACCAACTCCAGGGTCGTGGCCCTGGCCGATTTCAGCGGTGTCTCGAGGCAAGCGACAGCGGCACGTAGAATGGCGGTTATGATCCCTGTTGTGAGTGCCCCGGGCACCTAGCCAAAATCAAGTGCAACTGCAACGCTGCTGCTTTTTGACCGGAAAGGCGCGACCCCGTCTGACCTCCTTTTTTCTTTTTTTTTGGGAAGTCAAAAAAGAACATCACCTCACCCACCCGCATTTGACCAGAGACCTTTGCCCGTTGCTACGCCTTGCGCACTTGCCAACATGGCGACTTCCAACGAACCGACCAACACGACTGCCGTCGCTCAGGTTGGCAAACCCGCGTCTGACAACGAGAAAAACTCAAAGGATGAGACTCAGGGCTTCCGAGTCAAGATCTACAACCTCAACGAACAGAACGAATGGGTTGGCGACGACACTGGCTTTTTGCGTCTCGAGCATGCAGAGGATGGCCTCGAGCTTCACGTCCAGGACGAACGCAATCCTGGTACGGACCCAAGAGTGCCGCTCCAATCCCGTTTCCCTTGCTGCTGCTTTCGCGCTCACTTGCATGCCCACGTGCCATGACGCAGTCAATGAACTTCTTTTTACGCGGGCCGATCTAGCTCGAGCCTTTCAGCGACAAAACAAAACCCTCATATTGTGGGAGGAACCCGACAAGCGCAACAAAGCGCTCAGCTTTCAGGAAGAAGAAAACTGCATTGAAGTCTGGCGTCAAATTTGCAAGGTATGTCCTTGCCAGCCCGCTACCCATACCACACCTGCACACCTCACTCCCAAAAACCCCTGGGATGGCTCAGGTTAAAGACGCTGACCCGGAGCAGGACAGTATCCAAGATAACGATATCGAAAGCTCTTCTACAATGGTATGACCCATCGACCACAACCCAAACTCGCAAAGTCTGCCTTTGTCCTGCAGGCCGTCACATTTCTATGCGACCTTGTAGGACAATCTTCTTGAAGAGCAACAACGGCCCATAAGCCCCCTGCCTGAACTGCCGCCCGTTGAGCATGGGTACGCAACACCGTACCTGCCTCATCGTCTGGCCGACGCACAGCCATCTCACGTCTTGTTGCCCTGCGGCGCTTCCACGACTCTCTTCCCTCCTCCCTCATCCCTCATTAGGCATCTGACAGCTTATACTGAAAGCGTACGAGTCGTAGCACAGCGCCGCATCTCAAGCCTTCTTCAGGTATGCGGGTGAACCCGACCGTTTTTGCAACATTGCCATTGTTCCCGCCCCTGCTGCCAGCCTCGGTGTGCTCGAACACAACGTTGTACTTCAACCTCGAGTGGCTAACCCAACCATGTGTGTACGGTGCTCAGGATCAACACGAACTGCGAATTCAAGCCTGCCGCGAATGCGAAATCACGGCCGAAGCGATCGTTCGCCGTGGTGACATTCCCAAACTCATCGAACTCTTTACACGCTGGTAATGCTTCCGTGCCCCTGAGCTATGTTGAACCGAGCACCTGTGCTCTGATGTAGCCCGACCCAGTGCCCCATCCTCTGCCGTTACACTCTTGACTTCTCTTGACTTTCCCTTTGTTCCCGGAACATAGTGAGGATCTGGATGACGAAGAGAGTCTGGCGCAACTGGCCATTGTCTTCATGTCCATGCTGCGAATGGCCGAGCACACCATTATCAACGTATGCTGCCAACCCACCTACGCCGCCCCGACATGCGCCGATGTTCTTTTTTCCCCCATCCCTCATTCCACAAACTTGCTGATACCCTGTAGGTTTTGTTTGAGGATGAATACATTCTCTCATTCTTTGGAGCGCTCGAGTACTTGCCCAAGGACATGCAGCGCACCTCCATCCCCCATCGCCAGTACTTGACTGAAACCTGCTCCTTACAAGAGGTAATCCAGACCACTGTGTTTAGCTTCACGCCCTCCCACTGTCATTGGCCTCATACCCATCACCAGCTAGCCTGCGCCGCATGCTCAGCTGCGCGGTGTGTGGTTTTCAGATTGTGCCGATTCAAGACGCGAAACTCAAAGAGGCCATCCGCCGCTTCTACTATCTCTCATATCTAAGGGTTGGTTGATCGTGGGGATTGCGATGACCATCCGGCCCCTGCGGCTTTAGACACCCGCGCCTCGTGCCTATCTCTGCCCATACGACTCGCTATGGTTCTCGTTCAGATTCTTTTTTAACAATGTACGGGGCTCCCGCGTACTCTTTTGCAGGACGTGATCATGGCGGGTGTGATTGACGACTACCTCATCAGCATCATAGATAGCCATATCCGCTTTGCATCACGCGATATGCTCGACCTCGTCAAGGTTAGCTAGCCTGCACCACGCATTGCACGTGCCGTTGGGTGGGCTGGACATGTTTGGCTCATGCTGTGGTTGGGCCTCTGAAACGACAGAGTGACCCCGTCTATTTGGAGTCGATACTCAAAGCCACTGGTGGTGAAAACAATGCTGAGGAGGTGGCTTTGCAACAAGCCAAGTTCCTGGACGAACTGTTTGCCTCAGTCAATTCTTTGGCCGCCATTGACGTCAGCGGCAGCGACATTCGACATGAGCTATTGCTGCGTGCTGTCAATGCCGACTTTTTCAACGTGGTTCGCGTGTGCCTGGTAAGTCAAGGACACACTGTTTGTTCTCGCTCTCAAGATGCCACTGTCGTCCGGGCCTTTGTACTCACAGACTTGCTGCATGTATTGTATCCTGGGATTTGGCACCTAGCGCGCACAACATGCGCCGACCACGGGCACCATCGCTGGAGCCTTGAACCGCGCGCTAGAACAGGAACCACAGCTTATGCGCCGAAACATCATGGTCCGTCCCGTGATTCACAAGTCTTCCTTGTCATCCCCGCCCGGCCCCTTGTTGCGCAGCTCCCTGAGCAAGCGGATGCATGCTCAAGTGATACATGTGTGCCCTCGTGCTGTATTGGCTGGGGCTCGCGGCAGATCCACACCAACGGTGAGCTCATGTTGGAGGTGGCCCGGGCTTTTGTTGCGGCCGCCACAATTGCCAACGTTCAACTTCTCGCGCAAACGTTGTTGTTCCTCTGCGATACGGAAACCATGGAAGAAGTGGTATGTCAGATTGCTCGCGAGGCCAATACCCACCTTGACACACTCCTGGTCCCGCTCAAACCTGAATCCCTTACGCGAAAGCGCCAACTCATTTACTGTGGCTGTTGCGGACTAATTACATAGCGTGCCAAAACGGACTTTCTCTCGACTTTTTATGCGCCTGCTGGTGCCATGTCCATTCTTGAAACGACCATTGACAATTTGGATGAGCAATGCCGTAAGTTTTTCGGACAGGAGAACCACACCTCCATCTGTGCATGGAGCAAGATTCGACTCAATAAGTGGCTCGGCTGCTTTTGCTGTGCTGTTACAGAAAGTAACGCAGGACAGGAGCGCGTCCTGTGCTTCCTCGACTTTATCTCCAAGTGAGTGTCAACGTTGCTTTGTGTGCTTTCTTTAATTAGCGGGGGGAAGGGGGGGGAAGGGGTCGTGCTTTCGGTCCTGTTGTTTGAAGCCAAGTGACCTTATTCGTGACCGTGATGCCACAGATGGATCCCACAGCGCATGCACAGTTACCACATTAAAAACTACATTGCCCGCGGCAATGTCGTAAACAAGGCAGTCCGAGTAGGTTCCGACTAATCCGGGCTTGCGCAAACGAGCAAGACGCGTGTCTGCATGTTTCTTACGCTTCTTGGTTGCAACGATGCAGGTTCTCAAGCCCAAGTACAACATGCTCCTTGCTGTGGGTGGGGCCCGTCTCTTGACGGCCATTGTGCGCGATGGCAACAACCGCGTCTTCAATCAATACATTGTCAAGCACGGTCAGTCTTTTTATTTCGTTCTGTTTGGCACAGCAGCGTCTTTAAGCACCCGCGATTCCTTGCCGGCTTGCCATTCACGACCCGATTGCTCTCTAGACCTATTCAAAGATCTGCTGAGTCGGTTTCGTCTCAACGGGCAGCGTGACAATTTGCTGACCTCGACCACTTTGGCACTCCTGCACTACATTAAGGCCGTACGTCATGCGCCAGATCTTTTGTTGGGCGCAAGCATAGTCGCTTCATGTGTGCGCGGGAGCTCTCTGTTGTACCTGCTCAGCGTAACCTACTTTGGTGCTCTTTCTCTGGCAGGAAAATGTGGTCATGTTGCTGGAATACCTGGCCACAAGCTACCGCGATGTTCTGGAGTCAATCAAAGGCAGCACTCTGGGTCAGGACATTCTCAACTGGTATGTGCAGACTACTCGCTCGTTGTGCTTGGCCCATCGTCCAGTGGCCAGACTGACCCGGCGAGCTTGCGCACCGACTCACATCATGCTCACTGCTGGTCTTTTTTTTTTTTCTCTCTCTCTCCTATCAGTGTGGCTCACGCACCTGGGCCGCAATCTGAATCTGGCGACGTAACAACTCTGCCCACGTAAGCACCCGCATTACCCCGGGAAAGAGCGAGTCAAACATCACCTCAATGGGCCAAGGGCACGCGAGTGCGCTTGCAGCTGAGCCTTTTGCCGCCAAAACCGTGACATGCGGCTCTGACCTCTTGTTGGCTCTCTCTTCGCCGCCCGTACAGATCACGCTTTCGGCAAGATGGCTCCATGGACGAGCAGGAAGAGGATTATTTCAATGAGGAAGATGACGATTCAGATCGGTCCTCAAACGATCCAAGCCGGCAGAACAGTTCAACCGACGTTTCGGGTGACGATACCGACTCGGCCCCATCTAGTCAACGCAGCCCTGCCTTTGGTGCCTCTGGGCCTCCGCCTCGGCCCTTGGTCAGCTATGATGAGGATGACGATGAAGACGATGAACCCGTTTTCAAGCCAGCCGTCAAGCGTTCCAAGCTGCAAATCAACCTGAAGACGTCTGCCTAAGCTAGCCACAAGCTCTGCCCTGCGCTACTTGCGCTTTGGTGTTGCTGTGGCCACCAATCCTGGCAATCTCACTCCAGCTTTGATCAAGTGCACCTTGTGCCACTTCTTGTTAACCCTACAGAGCCCAGCAAACAGAAAGAAAATTGAACCCCGTCCATTTGACACATCAGTACCTCTGCCCTGAGTCATCCCTTTTCCTCCCACCACCACACAAAAAAAAAAAAAGAACGAAAAAACTCTCTCTCTCCTCTCTCTCTCTTTTTCTCCTTTTTTCCAATAAAGCGACATCAATCATGACGCTGCGCGCCTTGACCGAGGGCAGCCCGCTCTGGCTCATCAACCACCAGATCTTCCGCCTGGCTGAACAGTACGTGTATCAGTAGGCAGGAATGCAGAAAGGGAAGGGGAAGAGGCGTGGTGCTGGACATGACAGGCCATATGGTCGCCCTAAGAATGTCTGAGAAAGCACGTGGTTGGCTCTTGCCGCTTGTAGCTCATTCGATGGCTGCCTTTGCTCGCGTGTGCCACACCACAAAGCAGACCTGAACTCGTGTACAAGCATGACAGCTCCAACGAGATCTGTGCGAGTGCGCTCGACGCCACGGGGTCTCGCCTTGCCATCGCTCTCGTGAACAAGGAACTCATCATCCTTGATGTGCATCAACAACCCTTTGCTCCCATCGCAAAAACGTACGTTCGCCTGGGCCTTGGCTCATCCAATTCCATCTACTTGTGATTTTGAAAAGCGCATTCAGCCCACACACCATTCTGCACTGCGACCACAAACAAGCAACCCTTGTGAGCGCTTGTTCCACCTTCGTGACTGACGCTCTCCGCTTGTGCGACGACGTGGAACAGCACGACGGAACGTCGCGTGACCTCGCTCTGTTTTGTTGAGGGTGCAAGCATGGCTCTCATCACTGCCGACAAGTTTGGCGACGTAGCCCGGTACGCTCTCACTGCACGCGACTGAGAGCATGTGCACCGTCCTTCACCGCAACAGACCTTGAGCACTCATCCCCTCCTCCATCCCGGCCATATCCACTCCCAGGTTGTTGCTGGATGGGTCCACGCTGCGCGTCGACAAGACACTCTGTGGTGTCGTGTCCATGATGTTGGCAGCGGTATGCCTATGCTAGACATGCTTCTCTCTTCCTTGCATATGCGCGCGTACCCACACAAGCACGCACGCACATGTCCACTCCCGAAGGGCTCTTCTCACCTTGGCAGGCCCTCAACCGCTTAGGTGATGAGTTCGGACGCACAGTACCTGATGACGGCAGACCGCGACTGCAAGATTCGTGTGTCCCACTATCCAGATACCTTTGATATCGCTGCCTATTGTTTGGGCCATGAAGAGTGGGTCCTTGCCAAGCTGCTGCCCAGCTTTGATTACGTGAACGAGCCAGAGCCCGCTCAGCACAGCCTCACCAACACCAATTCTCCCTCGCCAGATTTGTCAGCCAGCTGGCCATTGTGAATGTCGAGGGCCAGCCCCTTCTGGTCAGCGGGAGTGGCGATGGGACTGTGCGCCTCTGGAATTACACAGACGGGACTCAATTGGATTCGCAGGTCCGAACATCTGGACATTGTAACTTGTCTTCGTGGATAGGTCTGGAGTGAGTTACAAGGCACGCCCTTTCTCTGACATGCCATTGCACTTGCATTGAATCCACCACTGTAGCTATTGGCCGTGCCTACCGAGCAAGATGACATCACTCCCGTCGAAGCCGTGGATGACAACGGTGACGTTGTGCAACCTAGCATCCGCGTACCACCCCGCAGCAACCAGTGGTGCCGAGTGCGTAAAACCGCGCATCGCCTTGCTCGCCTCTCTGCCAGTCGGGTGGCCACGCTTTGAGCAAGGCTACGCGCTTGCATCAATCAATTGCGATGTTGCGAGCCGAGCGCATTCATGTTTGTTCTTCTGCCTTGCCTTGCCTCGCCCCGCCAGACGGCCGTGACGGCCCTCAGCGCGCATGACAACCATGTCCTCGTCGGCTTGTCTCGGTTCGTGCTGCCGTCCGTCACCTTGCCTCCCCTCTTTTCTTCCACCTCCTCTTGTCCTGTTCACAGCGATGATTGCCACACCTTGGCCTGTGGGTAGAGCACCCTTTGTTGCACTCTTTGCCATTGAGTCACAGAGTCTACGCCGGATAGCCATTGACTGGAGTTGTGCGGCCCCCGTGCAAGGCGCACTGCTTGCGGCTGATCATGTGTGGTAGGTTTTGCCTGGTACCACTGGGTTCTGTAAGAGTCATCACGCTCAAGCTCTCGTCCGACCGTTGCCTAGGTTGTGTACGGCGGATGGGCCTGAGACTGCTTCGATTCAGAGGGTGACCCGAACGGATAATACCGTGCAGGTGACCACATACGATGCGACTAAGGGTACGTGCACTCAAAGTTTTCTCTTCTTGGCCGACACTTGCTCCTCTGCCTATCCCTCATTCTTCTGTCAACCATGAAAACCAAACTTGGTTTGGCTTGATCCGATGTCAACCCTACTTTCCTAGGCGTTGAGCTGGAAGGCTGGGTGCTGCCCAGCCGCATCGCTTCACAATTGTATCATGCTGCTTTGGAAGCCAGCTCTTCGGAATATTATGAGCGGTCAGTTCTATTGCCTGTGATACTCAGTTTTTGCTTGCTGATCCAGGCAAAGATGCGCGTGCTCACACGCTTTCCCTCATTGACCCTTGGCCGCAACGCAGGAAGGCCAAACGCACGGCCGTGCGCACATAAACGGTGTCATTTGATGCTATGTTCACTGCGGGCGCCTAAACTGAATTGATGCTAGTGCTAAAGGGCACACTTTCACGCTCGCACAAGATTCAAAGATGAAACACTGCATTCTCTCCACCATGACGGGCACAAAACTCGATACCTGGCGCCAATGCTTTCGCCTCCATCTCGGCCTCGCAAAATTGGTGCGGACGGGCTTGAAGTGCTGCGCCCAATTTTAACATGAGCCATTGCAGGGTCAATTAGTGATGCGTCTGCAAGCTTTGTGGGCAAATTATCAAAGCGTGCCATGACACTCAAACCTGGTTTGTAGAATGGCACGGCAGCATCGACGATATCTTCGAATAGCACGTCCAAATGTGAAAGAAGTGGCTCATTGGGTGGCGTTGAACAGGCACGGGTTTTCTCATGCGCTTGTTGCCTTGGCATTATGCAATAGCAAGCCAATGAGGCTTGGACAAGCCGAGACAACCGCTGCTCTTGGAGTTATCAGGACCGGCGTACCTGATGGCAAGGTTCTTTCGCTTCGCTTGGGCTGATAAAATATCCAGCAGTTCCAACAATAGTTCCCACGTATTGGTGATCGTGCGCAAGTTGAGCACCTCGTTCAACAACTCGGCCACCAACGTGTAGGTTGTGCGCCGACTCCTAGGCAAACCCATCAGCGTTAGGTGAAGCAGTAATCAAGGGACGCTGTGCATCCATCCACATCTTGAATTAACCAACTTGATCCAAATGAGATACAAGCTCTCCTGCGCGCTGCTTATGAAGACGTCGGGCAAAGTCGTGGCCGAGATCGAAGCAGCACCCAACTTGGCAAGCGTGGCCTCGAGCGACACTTGCATTCGGAGCTCGAGCGAGACGAGGGCCACGTTGTAGCCGTAGTAAACCACCTTGGAAAGCATTTCCACCTAGCCCAGAGCGCAATATTCAAAAAAAAAAAAGGGGGGGGCTTCTCAGTTCCAAGCATTCTAGCGACGACAGTAGCTTTTGGTTTCCATTGGCGCAAGCGTACCACTGCGGCAGCAAACGCGATGCCTGGGTTGTCGTGCATTGCCTTTGCCCTATAAAGGTGTGTGCAATGAAGTTGAGCGGTGACGCTTTGAGCGCTCTGGGTGTCAAAACCATGAAGCAGGGTACTACGTACTGAAAAAGGGACACAGGCAGACCCATGTCAAGGAGCAGCTTATAAATGCCCGGGTTCATCGTTACAAAGAGGTGATTGGGCTGAGCTACACCAGCCGTGAACCGGCAATGCCAGTGATATGCATCAACCGCCTGTGCCAGCACAGACAGTATTAATGATAATAATCCGAATGATGACGAGGCTGTCGCTGGTGTTTAGAGACGGCGCATGTCACTCAAAGCAACTCAACCCCATCATGGACGGATCTGGACACGGCATACCTGACCCATACGTTCAAGAGGAACGAGGAGCACGGTGCGCTTGCGCTCGAGCAAGACATGGCGCTGATAAAGGCAGCTCTCCAGCGACGGCGTGTTGTACACAAGCGCACACTCGGGACAAGTTTTGGATACAATCGGGTTCTGGGTAGCAGACGAGAAAGTGCTTGGCATGAGTGGTCGAGGATTATGCAGAAAATCAAAACATGACAAGGGCTTTGGCTGTTAATACTTGCTCAGACCTGACGCCTGCGAGTCTCGGCCCGTACCTTGTCCTTGGCCCAGAATTCAAGGCTGGTGCGGATGTTGAGATGACCCAGCTTGCGATGCTGTGGAGCGTCATTTTGCGCGATAAGCACTGAGTTCGGTCGCAGGAGCAACTCTGTCTCGTCCAAACGTCCCATCCATACAGTATTGGGCAGTTCCAGTGTGGCAGTCTGATTCAAGAGCGCAGGCGCATGAGCAGTCAGACACGACATGTTGATGCTGAATGGCTTGGCATATCGCACCTGATGAGACGCCAGAGGCAAGTTGGCCAGTGCAAGCTGCTGGTTATGTTCTGTGCCTGCCTTGGCATGGCTTGCTCGGAAATTGCCGTGATCGATGTGAAACACCATCGTCGTTTCTGATAGCTAGCCGTAACCACCATCTTTAAGCATGGCAATGTGGCCACCCACCCCCACTCGGCATCACCCTCTAAAAGCAAGCGCAAATCAAAAGAGTACATACGTCCACGGTCCAGACGTCCGCTCGCGTGACGGCTGACAAGAGCAACCACTGATCCCACTCAATACGGCCGATGAGAAACGGTGGAAGCTGCTCCGTGACGGGTGAGTTTGAGACGCCATTGATAGCCAAAGTGTACAACGTGAGGTTAATACCAGTCTCTGGCTAGATGATGGTGTCAAAGGCGAGTCTCCTCGATAGGTGGAGACATATGGAAGCAAGCTGAGGCGAATGAACATACGCGCAGGTCGAGCGTTTGGGGAAACATGAAATAGTCAATGCCGTTGCGATCGTGGGCTAATGAAAGTACGCAGGATACAAACAAGGTGAGGCGTGCAGGTGCAAAGGTTTTCCAAAGGTCAAGGGGGCAGGTGACAGGAGAGAATGCACACAAGTGGACCTGACCGTGTGTCAGCTGACGAAGGCCATCCCACGCATGCAGATAGGCTGACTGCCAGGGCACGCCTAGATTCCCCACATTGTGCAGAGCTTGCCGCTACTCATACCAAGCTGGATGAGTATCGTCTAGCTTTGGCTTTAGTATACATGCGAGTTCAAGCCCAGCACATGGGTCGTACCTCAGCCGCACGCATGTGATCCAAGATGTGCACAGCAGCTGACGCCTGTGCAAAGTATATAGCAGGGTCATGAGGACGGGTGCAGCCGTCGCAAAGGCAATGTTCAAACACACACGAAGAGCGTACTTCATGAGGGTCGAGATCGTGACGGCGGCCGACCATCAGAGCGTGTTGGTCGGGCGCCAGTGATGTGTGTACCTATCATCAGTCGGGGTGTGCGTTGATGAACACTTGAGTCAAGATCTAGCCTCAAATGTAGATGATGTCGTGGCCCTTACTTTTGTGAGGCTTGACAAGATGTCGGAAGTGAGGATGATATCAGAGTTGACATAGATCAAGAAGGCTGTCTTGGCCACCTGGCGCGTCGTTGCAGGACAGGCGACAGGGTGTGGCATAGCAGACAGCATGAGCACCTGCCAGCCTTGGGCCGGTGCACGGCCGATGACAAGGAAAAATGATGCGCAAGGACGAACAGTGCGCGCGCGTTGGAAGATGCAGTCGACGGTGGGTACGTTCTCATGCAGGCAAGGAAAGGGCTCGCAGCGAAACTGCCCGGGATGGTCAAGCAAGGGTCCAAGTGCCAACGCCCAGGCCATGCATGTGGTGTCGGTGCCAAAGGCGATGACACTGAGCTGCACGTGTTGCGATCAAGTGAAGAATAACGCAGGTGAATGTTGTGCAACAGCTTGGCAGCAGCGAGGAAGATGGTCGAAGCCTGGTCTGGGCTGCACGCCCATGCGCTTACTGTGAGGGCAAGCCAAGAGGGTACGGCAAGGGCCGACGCCTTGTTAAACTCAAGGAAGGCGTGAAAGGCATCGCGGGGCGTAGCCTCCGGCGCGGGTTGCTCGCGGGACGGTACGTCACGCAGAACGGTAAAGACGGTGAGGTTGCTTGCTCCCAGCCAGCGATGGTAGCTACCCTCGACCGGGCCCCGTTGCTTTGCGCCAGGAGGTAGATGGTGTGCCTGATCGCCGCTGCGAGGTGTGGCTGCATCACCTTGCTGCCGTACGTTGTACGCGTTTATTCCTTTTGAAGCAAGCACGTCCTGTCTGGAATATGAGAGCTTGCTAGGAAGCTGATGCATCCAAAGTAGAATCGCGCCCAGCAGCAGGGAAGCGCCTAGCAGCCAGGCCGCGCGGGACGGCCGCATGGTGCTTGGAACCGGAGTGAGAAGGCTTTATGGGTATTGATTTGCCTGCATCCGTCCACCGTCTCATCCATGTGCACTCATAACTTCGTTCTTGGCAGAGCCATGAGCCCTTGGCAGTGGCAGTGTGGTGGGGAGATGATGGGGAAAGCCCCGGGCAAGAGCTGCTCTGTCGGCACAAGGACCCGTCGTATTGATTTAAAAAAACCTTCCGAGGATATTTTGCAAGCGTGCATGCAATCTGCCCTCTTCTCATTTGGGTTAATGAACAAAAAAAGCAAAGGGAAGCACGCAACAAGAGCGAGGCAGAGGGAGAGGAAGAGGAACTCGCTGCCAGCAAGGCATGCTCGGTGCAGAAAAAGCAAAAAAGGGCTTACTAGACCAACGCTCTACCACTGAGCTAAGGCGCCGAGAACCGGTTGAAGGGTTCCAAGCAGTGGTTATGAGGCACCTACGAGAATTGAACTCGTGACCTTTGGTTAACTGTGCTGACACTGGGTAGCATAAATCTACATATAAATGCGGCGTCCAAAAGCAAAAATATACTCCTGCGTAGGGCGTCGGGGACGTTTGAGGTTGGGCAAGCCCGGGCCTTGACGCCGGGACGTGGATGACGCAGCGCCATGCCCACCGTGACGATGAGTGATGAGTCGCTGCCGATGATCACTTTGAGTGTGACGAACGAACAAAATATCAGGCTCTTAAATTATTAATTATGGCGCGCAGGACGCAGTATTTTGGATAGGAGGAAGGAGTGCTCGAAGCAACGAGCAACCCGCTGGACACAAGACAGTCGGTTCGACGCCCTCGCGGCCACGAGTCGGCGATTGACAACAATCGATGGAGCGAACTCGGGTCTGCAGAAGTTATGTGCACCCGGTCGTCTGACTGGATGCCGCATGCAGACGGGCTGGGGGAAGGCTGCATGCGTCACGGCACGGTGCGCGACATGTCGTGACGCTCCAGTGCGGCGATGATCTGTTTTGGTGGGCATTCTGGTGGGTGTGGTGCCCCGATGACCAGGAGTTGGTAGGCGTTGTGTCGCAGCGAGCTGGGTCGCCGCTTGATGCTCTGCGATGGGACGGGACCAACCCGCTGTGAGAACCATGCTCTACCGTTGCAAAGAAGACTGGTTGCACGAGCTGCCAGCAAAGCCCGCATGGCGATGTGCACACCCGCCTCCTCAATGACCCACCTTGACCCAGTCACTGCGGGTGCGCAAGGCTTGCTCCAGCTGGTGGGTAAAGTGGAAGGGATCGAAGACAAGGAGAAGTATGGTTACCTGCCCTCTCGCCACGCGCCGCTCTGCACCAACAATGAGCCGAGAGTGCCCTTGCGCCTGTGCATAGACAAGAAAGCGCATGAGGCTGGCTGTGTCAGTGGCAGCACAAGACGTGCCTCGACATGCAAGGGTGTAGAGTTTGCACCCACCTGCAGAACGAGAGGTGGGCGGCCTGTGTGCACGTGTTGCCCGGTTGGAGCGTCGGCGCTAAAGTAGTCCCAGACCCAGGTGACAAGTCGCTCCTGCAAGCGGGCTTGGTCAGTGGGTGCGTGCAAGAAAAAGTCCACAACGTCGGCGCCCACGCCTTGAGCGCGCAGCATGGCCACCATGTCAGTGGCGCCAATCCATTTATCCGTCCCCACCACGCGATAGTCCAACTGCTCGGCGCCAGCGGGGTCGAATCCCGCCGCCCACCCGTGTTCGATGAGCCTTTGCAGGGCGCTGAGGGACGGGATGCGACCGTTGAAGAGGTTGGCGTACTCGGGTCGCGTCAACAGGTGTGAGGTCAGCATTTGCAGATTGCGGTACCCGCAAGCGTATGTCTGTGCTGCATCACGCTGGTGGTAGTGACGCACGTTGCGACAGACTGTGGTCCGAACCCCGTGAACCCCACGCGGCGGTGGAAGCTGCGCACACGCGCGGGCAAGCTGGTTTGCCAGCTCTATCCCACCATGTCCCTCCTCCGCGGCCAGTGTACCGACTTCGCTCGCGATGGGGGCTACCCATCGCGGGGGTGCGGCGGGCTCGGCTGTTGCCGGTGGTATCTTGGCTGGCACTGCTGATGCAGCTGTTGGCGGCCGTGTGACCTGGACACGTGGTGGGGACAGCCATATGACGTCGTCGCCCTCGTCGCCCTCGTCGCCCTCGTCACCCTCGTCGCCCTCGTCGCCCTCGTCGTCCACACCGCGCCGCTCATCGGCACTCGAGGCGAACGTCCTCTCTGCTTTGCTCCCGCTCACAGTGCGGTGCTGTGGCGACGGTGCTGCAGCAGGGCGTGCATCATCCCGACATTCGACCTCGAGACACCCATTGACATGCTGCTGAATGGCGTACTGAGGCAATTGCCGGCCGCACACGGGACATGCGACCCGAGGCACCGCCTCCATCCCTGCCCGGTCACACACCTGTCCACCGCCACCGCGCTGACCCGACTGCCCACACCGCCGCACCTTCCTCCTGCGCCATCCCGGCGTCCTCAGCCTCCGAAAAAAAATTAAATGTGAGTGCAGACACACAAGACGGCGACAAAAAAAGAATTAACTCCCCCACGGGGAATCGAACCCCGACCTTGACGGTGAGAGCGTCACATCATAGCCATTTGACTATGGGGGATGAGCTTATTGAGCCGAAGAAATGTTAATATATAAACGACATTGTTGTCATACTATGGCGTTTTTTGTTCTTTTTGTGCGAATTTTGGCGGAATTAAAAAAAAATGAATGGAGATGATGATGTACCAATCAAGGCATGGCTAGATGTATGCCCGCGCCAGCCGCTGGGCCGAATACTACGTGGGTTAGCAGTTTGCTTGCTGTGATAACGCCAGTCTGTTACCTTAACGTCGAGACAACGTCCTTTCGCATCCGTTTGCATAGCATTGGACTACGACATAGCATGACAGTTCCGACAGTTAAGAAAAGTGGTGATTTATTTGAAAACTGTGATTACGATATTGTTGTTGACGTGAGTGCAAAGGCTAAGCGCGCGCTGGTGCTAGCGGGGTCGAGAGTCACCGGCAAAAAAACACCGTATATGTCTTGATTTGGGCATCGCAGACGAGCCACGCGACTGCATCAAAAAAACACCGTCCATTAAGTTGATGCCTCGACCACGAACTTGCAACATACAACGTCGCCCCAAGTGAACGAAGTCGTCCATCCCTTGCCCTTGACAGCGCGAAGTCTCTATCCGGCTCCAGCACGGATTCGACGCTAACAAAAAAAGAATTAACTCCCCCACGGGGAATCGAACCCCGACCTTGACGGTGAGAGCGTCACATCATAGCCATTTGACTATGGGGGATGAGTGATGAAAAGTTAACGGCATAATCCTGTACACAACGATCGTCTTGTGTAAAAAAAACCAAAAAAAAAAAAACGGTTAACAAAGCAAAAAAAGAATTAACTCCCCCACGGGGAATCGAACCCCGACCTTGACGGTGAGAGCGTCACATCATAGCCATTTGACTATGGGGGATGAGCTTGTTCAGGTTGTAGAAGTTAATACATATAAACAACATCAAAATATCATCCTACAAAAAAGGATGACAACTGTCGAACGAGACAAAAAGGTTAACTCCCCCACGGGGAATCGAACCCCGACCTTGACGGTGAGAGCGTCACATCATAGCCATTTGACTATGGGGGATGAGCTTGTCCATCTAGTCCAAATTATTTTATATAAAAGACTTGCAAATACATATGCTGACATGATGTGTACGTTTGCTGTGATGGCGTTCTTCGTGTCGCCGCGTCAGTCTCAAGTTTTATTTTTATTTTCTTTTGGCATCTCGCTGCCGTCTGGTTGTCGCTCGCTCTTTCCTGTTCCTCCCCAGCTCGCTCACTGGTCTGCGTTCAAGGCTTCTTCTCAGACAAGCGTAAGCTGTTGATGTGACGCTGTTGACTTGATCGAGCTGTGTCACGGGGCATCGTGTTGGCGTTTTCATGCAAGCGGCGCTGTAATCAACGCTGGTGCGTGCTTGTGCAGCTGTGCGACATCAACATCCAAGGAGGCTCTGCGACGTCCGTGACTTCCTGTGCCTGGTTGGTGCGGGTGGTGGGCTACCGGCGCTCTCTGTCTCAGCTGGTGGCCTTATTGAAGTGCCAGCATCACTCAGGCTGAACCTGCGCTTGTTGGTTGTGTGGGTTGTGTGGCAGGGAGGCAGCCATCATCCATCACAATGGCGACGTCAGCTGAGGTGGGTTGGGACAGGCTGTGTTTTCATGCACATATTCCGGTCATGTTCAATCTGTCTTGACATGCCGCATTTGTGTACTCGCATGCAGCTTGAGGCACGGCTGCGTCCTTACGAAGACATTTTTCTTCGCATTCAAGCCGCATTGGGCTGGCATCACCTTCTCTCGTGCGTGCTTGTTTGGCCTGCAGTGGCTGCCCTCAGCTTTTTATGGTAGGCTTGTTCTGGTGTGCTCTAATCGTGCTTGCTCCATCACGCAGGGGTGCCATTCTTTTTAGCCTGGATACTGCCATCGCCGCATTATGGGTACAAAGCTCGATGCCTCCCCTTGCCAAGGTTGGTTCAAGCGAAAGCGGACTGACCGTTTTGTCAACAAATGTTCCCATGCGTGTCAGGCTAGTCTCACGAGTTGGGCTGATGGCCCCTTCACAGCTGGCCTGCGGCATGCTGGCCATTTTGGCTTATCGCGTGTTGGGAGGCATGGGTACCAAGCTTCCTAGTCTGAGCCAGAAGCACAAGGAACTTCTCAACAAGTTGACGAGCACGGATATCGGCACTCGACATCAATCCTTGTACGCATGCGTTTGACACAAGTGACAACCGCATTTTTTTTTGATGTGCCGGTCACAAACTGGTGCGGGGCCAAAACAACAAGTTATCTCGGACTGAGACAGTCTCTCATATCGCACCGTATCGAATTGGTCCGCCTAGACGCCCCGGCCTCACACTGCGTGAGTTTGCCGACGGCGTGACGCAGCTACGCGAATCCATGTCCCAGTTTCGAAGCAGGTAACACTTACTGTACCCTGAAACTCGTTAACAACCGGTTCAAAAGATCCTTGGAAACCCTGCTCAACGTTGTTCTGACTGGGTCCGGTATGCGCTACTCTGTGTCGCACAGCTGTCGTGCTGCACGCCACGATGCGCCCGGCTTTGTACGTCACCGCAAGTGGCACGACCGACTCGCAATTTCTGGCGGCTTTTCGTTTTGTATAGTTGCCAACTCATTTATGACACCGCCTTGATAGTTGACGTTTATGTTTGTATCCTTGTTCATGGGCTTGGCTGCCCTCTGTCACTTTTTCAAGCCCCACGCCATGCTTTTTTGGAGCGGTAGGTTCAAGCCATCGTCCTGGCACGTGTGAATAATGCTTTGATGTCCCGCACAGCTCCCACCATTCACCATGGGTCTTGCAGTCCTAGCCTTTCATCTCTACTGGCCTTTGCGCCGCTACGAGCTGGCACGCAAGTACTGGCGCATCGCCAGCCCTATCGCGACTCATCAATTCTGTCGCATCATTTTGGCTGTTCGCTCCTTCTTTGATAACTTGCCTGACCGCGTCGTTATTGGTGAGCCGCATGTTTGGGCCGTTGTCAAAAGTCTCTGCCCCGTGCTTTGCCCGGGCCTCACGCGCTGTTCACGATGAGTAGTGGAATCGGACGCGACGCCCACGCCTTCCGTGCGACGTACCGGCCAAGCAGCTCGGCAGAGCCGGCCCGTTGCACACGCACCCCAGACCACAATGCCTTCGACTACGCCCAAAGCCACGGCTCGCGTACGTCAACACTTCTGGCTGTGTTGTTAGTGACTTGATTGCCTGACTTTGTTCCAGTTTTTTTTGCCTTGCCGGCCCTTCTGTTGCGGTCTGTTGCGGTAATGTTTTTTTTTTTTTTTTCCGAGGCTTCGAGTCGCCTGTGTTCACATTGCACTGTTGCTTTCCTTGTCTTCTTACTCCACGATTATGGTCGGGACGGCACCTGTGCTCTACGGATATAACAGCCCGTGACCCCGACTGCTCCAGTCGAGGAGTTTAATTCTTCCTTCGAGGAGCCACTAGCATCCAGCACGCCTCGCCCAAGGGGCTGGAGCGTCTTGGAGGAGGAAGATACAACATTTGGCTCGCACACCAGTCCCTCGCCCGGTGCCGAAGGCCTGCGTCAACGAGGCTGGACCATTCTTGATGATGAGGGTGATGAGCAATAGAGTGTCTCTGTTTACAACCATTCCTTTCTGATTTGCTCGCCTTTTTGGCATGTGGATGTGTGGTCGCGATGAGATTGACATTGGACTCAATCTTGGCCTCATCCTCTAATATGGTAACTCGGGGTGAGCAAAGTCATGCAAGTCATGTGTTGAGTTTATTTCTTTGTGTTGTGATGCCTCAATTTGTGCCGGCTCTTGGTACGCGCCGCCAATTGCACAAGCTACAATCACAAGAGGGTGTAGTTCTGACTGCAGGGCCAGATGAGATGTTGGCGTTCTAGGTCGCGCTGATGCTGGCCGAAGGCAGCTGGAACATGATTTGGTAGAAGCCCGAAGTTAGGGTAAGATTACGGGCCGCGTCCGCCGGAGCTAGTAGCGTCAGGCTGCTGCCCAGCACGGGTTGATTCAGCAGGTGTACGTCAGAAGTGGTGGCAGGGATTTCCACCGTCACATCCATATTCCCTGGAATCGTGAGGTTGTGATGAACCAGACCCGCAGGCGAGCGAGTCCAGGTCGACGTGATGATGCCCCAGATGGTATGAACATCACCAGTAACATCCGACACAAGTGACAGATCATAGGGAGCACGGCACACAACCTGCGCAGCGCGCGTCTCATCCAGAGCATGTGCAACTTGGATGCCAGCCAAGCCCTGTGAGAACCATAATCCGATGGCATTGTAGCACCCATGCATGCGCGAGGGAGCACCCTGCCACTCTTCGGGCCAGGTCGTGTAGCCCTGATCCAAGAACCAGCCATAGCTGGGGAACGTGCGTTGGGCAGCCAGTGCACCCATATCATCAGACCAGCCTTGAAGGACAAGGTAGCGCGTTAAAAAGTACGTGCCGTGCAGACCCGTGTCAAAGTGGGAGTCAGTGTCGGTGCTGATTGCTTGGCGCAGACGCGCCTGAATGGCTGCTACTTGATCGGACGGGACCGTCTCGGCGACAAGGGGCATGAGCAGGTGGCCCTGGTAGCAGTATAGGTAGCCACCGCAACTGGCGTTGTAAAACTTGGTATGGATGGCCGTGCCCAAGTTGGTTGCCCACTGCTCAGCCCAAGCCGCCTCTGTGGCATTGCCAGTGAGCATGCGCGTAAAGGCAGCATAGCGTCGGAAGCACAACGCAATGTAGTTGTTGTTAAAGAGCAGTGCATCTGGGCTTGTGGCCAGCTCAGACCCATGTGGTGTGAGCCAATCGCCGAGAAAGTCCCAATACCCCCCGAAAGGCCCAATCAAACCCTCAGCCGACACATGGGTGAGCCAGAAGCCCAGAAGCGCGCGCATGTGCGGGAGCAGCCGTTCGGCGGCGGCCACATCACCGTACGAGCGATAGAGCTCCCACGGCAGCGTAAAAATAAAGCCTCCCCTAGCAACAATGGAAACAAGGCAGAGGCAAGCATGAGGAAATGCAAGCGGAGACAAATCGGCTTGAGCACCAGGATCCAAGTCTTGGCCCTTGCAAATGTCTCGACGACAAAAAAATAGATATCCCGTTTCCCCCGCCTTGTAACTGACCAGCCAGGACCACCCCCACCGGAAATGGTGGGTGCGGTGTGGGGTACGATGCCGGCGGTGCCATTCCAACTTTGCACATCCTCCCAGTCCTGGGCCCACTTGAGCATGAAGGCGCCTGAATCAAAGGTGGCCAGCGCCATTTCGAGGGAAGTGTGGGCGTCCCCACCATAGCCCAGACGCTCACGATGGGGGCAGTCCACGGAAACGCCGGAGATGGTAATGCCACGATACGTGTCAATGGAGGCGTTGTACATGGCGTTGAAAAGAGGATTGGATGAGCTGAAGGCACCGCGTTGTGTGCGCAAGTTCCCGAGTTTGATGCCGCGCATGTTGACGGCATTCAGAGGCGCAGTCAAGCCCGTGATCGTGACGTATTGAATTTCATGGAAGCAAAAGCGGTTCTGCAGAGCAGCTCGGCCCTCAGCGTTGGCGATGGCTTTGTCCATCATGTTAAACTCCATGGTGACGCCCTCGTTAGTGGCATACTGAAGGGTGACAGTGCCATTGGGGGTGGTCTGCATGTCGGTCACGTTGACCCAGCCCGTGAAAAGTTCGTCCATCGTGACGACGCACGTCATGTTGCTGGTTGGTCCGGTGCAATTAGCATGGCGGGCCTGCACCTCGCCCAAGACGCCGGTCGGTTCGAGACCGGCGGGCGAGATGGTCTTGCCGCCAAGGGTGGGGTCGTAGGTGGTGGCGTGGGGCCAGGCCGAGTCATCGTAGTCGGAGTGCAGCCAGTCTGTGTCAGAGATGCGATTGTCCACCTGATCACCTCCGTAGTTACCCGAGACCCAGCCGCCAACGTGCTGCATGTTGCTCTGGTTGCAACGCCAGGTACCCAAAGTCTGGCCCGTCGCAGCCAGCAGCACCAGGTCGCCATTGGGCATGCGCATGTTCAGCTCGGCGCGAACCAGGGGCACCTGGGGAAAATCAGCAAAGGTGGTGTAGCCCGAGGCGGTGAAGGCGCCCCAGCCAGGGCCGAGCCATAGGCCGAGGACAAAGCTTGAGTTCTGTCGGACGAGATCGGTCACGTCATAAGTCTTGCTGAGGATTCTCTTTGGCAGGTAACTGACGGCGGGGAGAAGGTGGGTGCCTGGAGCCACGCGGGCACCGGCAATGTATGGCTCGTGGTAGCCCACGGAGGCCACCTCCAGATGAACGCGGGTACGATTGTCCTCGAGGGCCGCGAGTGGGGTCTCACTGAGCGTCACCACGGTACGGCACCAGGGGCAATCAACGTAAGCGTAGCTAGTGCTATTGGCGGGGTTGGTGGGAGGCAGACCGATAAACGTCGACTTGGCACTCCAGTCCCTGGCCTGTAGATTGCCGACAACAAAGTACAGGGGCTCTGTCGGCCGGACATTGGAGTAAGTACGGTTCTGATTGTCCACTAAATCGAGAGACACGTCCCAGCTGTAGTGCTGGCCACTGATCAGCTGCTGGGCCGTTGCAGGGAGAGACACGAGCGTGCTCTGTGCCGAAGCAATGCGCCCGGTGTCGATCAAGCAGTCATCGGCAGCCAATTGCTCCGAGGACAAGGCCAAACGGAGCCGGTAACTCGTCTGCTTCAGGCCATACACATCGGCTGCTCCCTGAAGCTCCCAGCTGAAGCGCGGCGTGCGAGTCGCAATCCCAACAGGATTGTCCATGTACTCGCACGTGGCCCGCGAGATGGTCTGTCCCTCAGCCACGGACAACACCATAGCAACACACCAGAACACCAGTAGCATCCCATATCCACCCAACCCACCCAAGGCCCTGCGCCACGCCCCAATCCTCGCCCGATCTCGATCTCGCGCTGCCATATCACCGTGCCCCATCATCGTCCGGCTCATCATCATCATCAGCATCAGGAGTCAAAAACACGCTGACAAATGCAACGACCACTTTTATCTGACATTCCGTGCGTGAGGGAATGGGATAGTGTAGATTTGTTACACTATCCCGTAGACGTCTTGGCAACAACAGTCCCCGCACACACACACTCTCGGATTTTCGCTCTCTCGCGCTGTCTCTCTCTCGCGCGCACTCTCTCGCTCTCGCTCGCTCTCTCGCTCTCTCGCGCTCTCTCGATCTGGTGGTGTGTGTGTGTGGTGGGGGGATCTGGCTCAAGCTTGGTGAGGTTTTGGCCAGTGTTTGGGCTGAAGAGACTTGTCGGTTGTGGAATCACAGTTGTGGGTTGGAGACGTTGAGGGGGTCTTGCTTGTCGTTGAGGTGGCTCAGAGCTGAGTGGCCAGCCAGTGCCTTTCCTCGATCGCTTCAAGCTCCAGGGCACAGGGAATAGCCCTTGGGCATTATACCAGGGGTGTGGCGTTGAGCCTCTAGCCTTGGGCGTCACATATATCAGGTCACACTTGCACCCATCAGGCCCGGGCGCTGCTCCCTGACTTAAGGGCAAGATGGCAGAGGAAGAGGCCGTCGATATTGCCGTGCTGGTCCAAGAGGCCGATGCTGAGGCGCTGGCGACAGAGGACCAACCGGACATTGTCGTGCCTGTTGCCGTGGCAGAAGAAACAGAAGGCAACACGACTGAAACTGATGGCAATGCGACAACCGCGGCTGATGCCTCGACTCCAGCCGCTGGAGCCGACGAGCTTGAGCAACAGCTGGCAGGCATCGAGGTCAATCTGTCCAAAGTCGCCTTTGACGAAGGCAGCACCTTTCGCAGCGCTGCTCGTCCCGCTGATGCGCTGCCCGCTACTTACAAGAGCAACACCACTCACGAAAAGGAGACCCTGCAGTATGCCCGTAACTTTCACCGCCAGTTTAGCAACCTCTATGCTCAGCGACGACCCATTGCCATGATCTTTGACAACGAGTGTGGTGTGCAGGTTGGTACAAGGCTGCCCCGCTTTCTCTAGCAAGCGCGTGCCATCGCCTCGGTCGCTTGATGGAACGAGTGCTCACCATCGCAGTCTCACTCTCTTCACCGTCGTCGTCCACTGAACTTTGCCATGTCGCGCCACCTCCCAGAAATTCATCAGCACTTTTATCCGACCAACCCTCCTCCCCTATCCACAACTTGCCACGCACGATGGTATTGGCAGTTTTGTAGCCGACTACGTGACCTTTGAACCTCTGGCCACTCCGACAAAGCCGGTTTGTCTTTTTCCCTGCATTCCTCTTTTTCTGTGCCCATTCTGCTGCTCATTCTTGACTGCTCCCTGATCACCGTCCATACTTTGCGCTAGCCGGCACAATTGCAATCGCCCAACACCACGCTGTGGCGTCAGCATGGTACCAGTTTGGACATGTCGCTTCTGCTGTGCTCCCTTTTGCAGGGTGCAGGCTATGATGCCTACGGCGTTCTCGGATATGCCACCAAGTACGTCTCCAAGCACAGCTGATCCAACTGGCCTGCTTTGGCCTGGGGAATATGGTCATGTCCATATCGCTCAGATCTCACATTTTTTGGGCGTCTTTTTACGCACGGCGCGTAGGACTGTGGCCACAAACAGTCGCTTCCGCTTGGAGAAGCCCCTGCGCGCCCCCGAACAAAAGGTAGTGTTTGCCGCCTCAACCACGTGCTCCTTCTTTATGCCAGCTTTGGAGATCTTGCTTATATCCGCTGCTTCTTGCGTGCCTCAGGCCCCACCCAGCGACGATGCCGTCAAAACAAACAAGTAAGTCCTGCTAAAGCACTTGCAGGCGCGAGAAAAAAAAGGGGGGGGGGGGGACCCTTTGGAGTTGGTGCAATGTCATCTGACCATGGCACGTCGCGGACTTAACGTGATATAGGTATGCCTTGAACTTGAATGAGAAGCTGCAATCCAAGTATGAGAAGGACATGGCAGCGCGCCGAGCAGCCAAGGCCAAGGCCCAAGCAAATGAGGTGCTGTGTTTTTGCTCCCCCCACCTCTCCGTCCCTGTTGCTCGCAAGGCCCGCGTGTAGTGAGGGCAGCCGTGTGTGTGTGTGTGTGTGTGTGTGTGTGGGAGGGCTGGGAATGGGCAAATACCCCACTGGCTGCCACGCATACTTCCCTGTTGATCACTGATCGCATTCCTTTTCGGTTTATAGGCAACAAGCGCACCTTCGGCGGCGGATGAAGATCCAATGAGCGATGAGCTGTTTGGCATGCGCCTTCACAGTTGGATTCTCGTCTGTGCTGGTCCAAAGGACGTGGCCGAGGCTTTCTTCATTGGTAAGGTGTTCTTTTGAGACGGTCAAGGACACAGGGTGTCGTGCTGCAGCAGTGCCGGGATGCCACAAAGCTCGCATGCAGTGGTATGGCGAGCTGGGCAGGGATAACATATTTTCGTGTCACTTTTTGCTCAAGCTCATGATGCGCTGTCATTGTGCTTTGTGTTGATTGGTCGGGTAGAACCTGTGACGGGCTCTGTCATCTCGGTGTTGGATCCCAACTATTTGGGCATTGAGTTTGTGTTCAACTCAACGTGCGTCTTAGCTGAGTGCCTCATGTGCAGATGTTGCGGATGGGTTGCTTGGCCTGCACGGCATGTGATGCATATCCATGTTCGAAACTCACGTTTGATCGTTGGTTTGTGCTTCAACCATAGCAATCTGTATGTCAACATGCAGCCGAATCACGAAGGGTTGCAACACATGATGTATGACCTGCAAGACAGCGCACATTGGGAATATGTGGTAAGTTTTATTTTTTGTCGATGTGGTTCTCTGACTCTGCCATTCCGTTGGAGGTGGGGGGGGGGGGGTCTTGCACGTATTTGCAAAATCGGAGTGCGACCAAGACTGCTGGGGCTGGAGACCACGGCCAAGGCCCAGAGTCTGGATTCAAGTCACAGCGCGCAAGGAGGGCTAATTTCTCACCAGAGGTGTTCCAATTACAGTTTCCCACTCCCGAAGCCTCGCGCCTGCCGCGCGCCGAGGTGTTGCAGCGTGACCCAGAACTGATGGATGTTGAGTGTGCTCCATCGTGGGTGGAACCTCTGGCACTGGAGCCGCGTGACTATCAAACGCAATGCCCACAAGGGAAGCGCAAGGTCCTCACCACGGACAGCGTCATTGAGCTTTACGCCGAATACCTCAACGAAAACGGCTTGGTTCGCAAGTACGTGCTTAGCTGATACCACGCCGGCGATCGGTGCGGCCTTGTGGTAGTGCTCCACTTACCAATGAGATGTGCGTGTGCGGTGTGTGCTTCGGGAATGGTTTGGCGGCTTGGGCCACTTTAGGGTGACGGCGTACGAGAATAGCAAGCTGGAACAGGTCAAGACGGTGACCAGCACCTTCAAGCATCGCCAAGACCTGCTCCTGCGCCGAACCGAGACGCCAGCAGAGAGTTCGGTGGGTGTGGCCCTTGCTCCCGGCTTGACTCTGGGTGGGATTCGGGCAGATTGACTCATGGTTTCCGCCTTGCACATTGTAACATGCAGGCGGGTGCGACCAAAGCGGATTTTTACCTGCCCGGGCATCCCTACCAAGTGCGCGAGCACCGCCAGAAGCTTGGTGCAAATCCCATGCGTGAAGTGCGCTTTTACGTGGAAACGCGAGCAGATGGTGCTTTGCGCCGCGTTGAAACTCGCGACGAGGTGAGCCGGCTTCTTGCTGCCTCGTGCACCTCGTATCGTCCCTCAGCGATCCGGATTGTGCGTCTGTGCATGTGTCTGTGCATGTGCTCTGACGTGTGCGTGCGTGCGTACGTCGGGATCTTTCTTGTGGTTAGCTCCTGGAGAGCTACAAGTCGCGCTTTGATCGCCTGGTTATGCGTCAAATCGTGTTTGATGCGCCCCAAAACCGGCCTCTGTACGTATTGGATGAGATGCCTGGTCACCCGATGCGAGGGCCTTTGGAACTCTGTGCGCGTGGGGTCATGGGCTAAGACACTGATCTTGGTTTGGCTGCTTGGGGTGTGCTTGGTGGCGATGATGTGGCAGGATTACGGCGGATAGCAAGGTCGAGGCTGTGACCAAGCGGGTGGCCATGATCGTTGAACGCTATGCGCGGGATCCTGATGTGGACGAACACGATGACATTGAGGAGGTGTCATACACAGCCGATGCCTTTCACATTCGTTACTTTCGCAAAAAGTCGGAAATGTCTACTGCGACCATCGAACTGGAAAAACCACCGCTTGGACCCAATCAGGTGCGTATGGTGTTCCCATCTCGTTGCGCATCTTGCACGCTTTCTATCGATCGGTCCAGAGCCGTCAGCTGGCCGCCGTGCAATGTAAAGAGTGCGGCGAGGTCTTCGTGGCTACCGCGTACCCGGTGTATTTGGAGCGCTCGGAGCCTTGACGGAGCTTGCCTTTGAATTGTGGTGGCACGTGTTTGCATAGACGATTCCGGCAGTGACGCGCGAGTTTGTTGATCAATATCACCCGGGCAAGGATCGTCCACGTCTCCGCAACTTTGAGATTTATGAGTTGCTGTCCAAGGTGCGTGCAGCTGTCAAGGGCGAAGCGCGGTCGCTCTAGCTTTGAGCAGGGCACTTGGGGCTTGCCAGCTCGATCAGTCCATGAATGCAGGCAGGAGGCTGGACAGGCCTAGGTCATAGCTGAGTCGGCACTTTGTCTTGGGCTGGCCTCTGCAGTGCTTGAAGATGGAGCAAAAGTGTCGCCAGGAGATTCGTGCCAACGTGGAGGAGACGGTTGCCATGTTGAGCATGATGCGAGACCATGAGGCCAAGATCAATTTGCAAGTGAGCTTCTACGACACAATGCGCAATGAGGCTGCACGACGCCAGCGCATTGAGAAGGAGCATCATGCACAAGAGGAGCGCGAGCGCCAAGAGCGCCAAGCTGCCGATTACCTTGCTCCCTTTTTACAACAGCTGGCAGATCCGGCGAACTTGGACTCTACGTTGGCCGCCAAAGTGCGGGATGCTTGTCTCAAAGACCTGACGGTACGTTTGCATCGCCTGGTGCCATTGCATTCCGAGAATCCGTCCCTTCCCCGGGAGTGTGGCAATATCATTTGCCATTTGGTTGTTGGTCTCGTGAGCCAACCGTGTCTGATTTTGATGGGTGGATGATAATGGTGGGTTAGGACCGGGCGGTGGAGCGGGCGCGCCTCATTAAGAGTTGGACAGAGCGCGAGCAGCGGGCCCTGCAGGAGAAACAGGAGTGGTTCAAACAACATCAGGCCTCGTTGAGCCGGGACCAGGAGGAGGAATACGTCAACTTTTGCGCTGAAGCCAACTTTCGCATTAAGATCCTGGCTCAGGTATGGCACTTGGTGATTGGTTCCGGGGCCGTTTGTCTGTCGGTCTGCGTCAGTCTGTCTGGCGGGCGCACGCTGGACTTTTCTACCCCCCCCCCCCA